TGGCAGTAGTGGTAGAGATAACTTGATAAGTAAGCAGAGGCAAATGACCACCTAAAATAGGGGAAAAAACCTAAAACTGCCAGTCATTCCATAAGATCTCAACTGACTCTACACGACCGATCTTTGTTCTAAATGAGGGGAGTCCTAAGCACCTACATCTCCTCCTCCTTACCACTTCAAGAAGTTGCTGGTTCCCAGCAATTTAGTAAGAAGCCTCATCCTGACTGTAGTGGAAACACCAATGTAAGTGAAGTCTGTTAACACAAAATTACTAAAGCACGCATTTCAATAAACCAACCACTCACAAAAACGTATTTTTAAAAAGATGACATAGGTGACATCACAAATTTCAAAAAGCAAAAAGCAAAGTATGTATTTGCTACATTTAAAAAAATATGCTATGCAAAACCTAAAAGTCAACAAGGTAACAAATACAAATATGCCACCTGACAAAGAATATTCCTAAAGAAGTTCCTTAACATCAAGAAGACATACAAAAAAAAAAAAAAAAAAAACCCATATAAAACAGACTAAAAATAAGGTACTTTACAGGTCGCCAGATTTGCAAAGACCTATATGTATTCGGCAGGGGCAAGAACATGCCAGTGTTGCCTGGGTCAGTCCTCCTTCAGGTCTGGGTCCCAATGCTACCTTCTCCAAGTGGCCCCCACCATCCCACTCACAGTTAACTGCATTTAAAATGCAATCTTATCCCTACTGCTCAATCCTATCTTTCTGTTTTTCCACCTTGTTACCTAATATACTATATAGTTACTTAGCACGGTATTTATTGTCTCCCTCCTACTAAATGAAATTCCTAGGGAGTAGAAATTTTTTAATCCTTATTGCTGTATTTCAAAGATGAAAAAGGACATAGTAAACCTTTTCATAAATAAGAGTCAAGATCCTGAGAGCCAGGCATGGTGGTGCACACCTGTAATCCCAGCACTCCGGAGGATTCCAGCCTGGGTTACACAGTGAGTTCAAGGTCAGCCTGAACTACATAGTGAAACCCTGTCTCAAAAAGAAAAAACCTGAGAATATGAATTCAAAATCTTTAAAACACACATGAGCAATAACACCTCTAAGAATTTATCCTAAGAAAATAAGCACTTAGAAGAGCAATAATTTACGCAAATGATTGTTCATCATAGCTTTGAACTGAAAAACTAGAAACAACCCACAATCGAACATTTAATGTTATAAAAACATTCATAGTAACATTAACTGGGCAAAGTATGTCCAATGATTCTATTTTTATCTTGAAAATGTGTCCATGTTTAGCTGGGTCTCTAGCTTGTGCCTGTAGTCCCAGCTACTGGGGAGGATGAGGCAGGAGGATCACATGATCCAGGACCAGTTTGACAATGTAGTAAGACATTGTCTTAGGAAAAAAAATAGAGATAAACATGCTCCTTAAGAAAACTGAAATAAATGGAATTTCTAAGATACATCCTTGAGTATTAAAGAAAGTGCAATACAGCCGGGCATAGCAGCTGAAGCCTGTAATTCCAGCACTCAGGAGGCTGAGGCAGGATGACTGCAAGTTCAAGACTAGCCTAGGTTACAAATGAGCTCAGGGCCAGCCTGAACAGCACAGTGAGACCCTGGCTCAAAAAGACCAAAAAAACAAACAAACAAAAAAACCAATACAACTTTATTTTAAAATTATTTCAAGCTGGGCATGGTGGCTCACGCCAGTAATCCAAGCAAGAGGATCATTCCAAGTTCCAAGACCAGCCTGGGTTACAAAGTGAGCCCGAGTCCAGCCTGAACTGCATAGCAAGACCCTGTCTCAAAAAGACAAAAAAAAAAAAAAAAAAACCCAAAAATTATTTCAAATATAATGGTTCTACATACTACTAGACAAAAGTTTTAGAAATTTTTAAGCATCCCCACAAATCTTCAATGTAACAATTCATATTTTTGGAAAATTAAGAAAGTTACCAGTCACCCCCACCCTCTCTGACTTCACAGATCGGTGAGTGCTAGAATGAGTAAGTGTTCCCTGTTCAATTAAATTAATTTACTGTCAACTTATGCTAAGTCTATAAAGTTCTTTAACTGCAAATCCAATGAAAATGGTTGTCTGACTTCATGAGGCAAATCACATCATGTATGAAATCCATGTTGAAATCATGTTCCACAGAAACTTGCCAAAGCAGCCCTCTGTTACATTATCAAAGCTTGCGACAAGCAGACAAGGACACAGTTTCTGGAACCCACACTGAACACTGAATGCTCCAGTGAAGATAGCGCCCTGCCCTCTCAGAGACACGGTGGCTGTGCGGGTCCCGAAAGCGGACCCAAGGACCCTGGGGGCCACCAGTGTGTGGGTCAGCTTCACTCCGCTCGGCCTCTACCTCATCGGACCTCAGATACATCAGAAGGAACCATGGCCTGGAGATACCACAGTTAGTAACCAGGGCTGGCTTAATTCCCAGGTTTACAATTTTCTAGAGAAGTAATTTGACAAAACGTCAATTTCCTCATCTGTAAAGTGAGGTGGAGACTATCAACAACCAGTTAATGTTAGTAAATACAACAATTTTGAAGAAGTGAAATAAGACAGCGAAAGAACCCAAAGGAAGCACTCACAGGAGGCCTGGAGAGGAAGCAGAACCTAGTTTCACTGCAACCAGCTCCACAGCCCCGCTGGGCTCATTCTGGGGGTTCCACAAAATCAAGACACAAAACCCTTGGGGCCTACCACACCATGACTAAATTAGGGGGAGGCCATTCACTGTTACACAAAAGTTTCTGAAATGAACATCTGCGCTTTGGTTTCTGTATCTTTTTGGTCCTGACCAGTTTTCAGGATGATTTGAGTTACCTCCAAACAGCCCCCAAGACTGTTTCTTTAGCTGACTGGTGTGAAAGCTCAGAAACAAAGTAGCAAAAAAGGGAGGCCTGTCTCACTCCCAATCAAGACTAAACTGTGTTATTGGGTGCTTTTGCCTCAGCCCTTCCTCCTTACTAACCTGGTGACTATTAGCCCACTTCTGCAGAACAACTGCAAGCTGTCAGGAATGCAGTCAAGAACCAAGGAAGAGTTAAGCGATCTGAGTCGTGTGCCACTTGAATTTCTACAACAGTTATCCAACCAACTTAGATATTTCAGCGACCTAGAAGAACGCTGGTGAGACAGAGGGGAGAAATTAAAACTAAAAACAAAAAACAAAAACTATTAATTGAAGCCAGAAAAAAAAATAGGAGGAGGAGAAGGAAAAAAAAACCACATGGGCTTTGAGATTACTAGTAAATGTGAGCAAATCACTTACTTAAATATATTTTCAGGAGCCAAAGTTGTACAGAGCGAAATATTCAGTAAAATAACTGCTAGGAATATTTGTAATTCATTCACACCTTCACAAAAGCGCAAGTATGAAAAAGGAACACAACCTGAAGTTGCCCTCAGGAGTGAACAGGAGAGTAACACAGTTCCTCTGGCTTTAGAAATAAAGAATGTGCTGCATAGTGAAAGTAATGAGTATCTAGTATGAATATCCAGAATACACACGTTTACTTCCCGAGTTAGTTCGATTCACACTAACATCAAGACTAAATTTCAAGTGATAGGAGTGACCATGACAGATGGCCTGAGACTAGAACTTCCAAAAAAAAAAAAAAAAAAAGTTTATGATAAAATTACTATATCTTTATATCAGCAAAAAATAGAATATTTTCTAACACATTCAGATCAGTTCCATATAGGATAACTAAACTAAGGGGCAGGAAAACAGCAACATTTAAATTCCTAGTGTAAACTACAACTGGTTTGCACCTGGCAGTTTCCATAAAACCAATCAACCTGTCGTTAAAAGCTGGCTTCGGGTAAATGCTCAATGAAGAAATTACAAAACAAAAACTTTCATGGCAGATAACAGAAAATGGAGCGGGAAGTGAGGTCACCTGTCACTTTAGTTGTACTGAAAAGGAACTCATTACCTGTCTCCAAAACAGCACCCGCCCACCTGTCTGGTACTGTCGCTCAGTAGGGGGCCCTAGGGAGGTCTCTAAAACATAAAACGCCACAGCACACCCAATAAATGGAACACAATCCAGAGAAACAGTGCGTCTGAAGCTGACAACCAGATGAATTACTTTTTTTTCCCGGAATGCAAATTGTCTAAGCGGATTTCCAAGAGCCTTTGCCTGAACCGCAGTACACCAAGTTCCCGAGGTGCAGCCCCACTGGCTGAAGCCCTCCACCGGGGGCGTTGCTAGCCGGCTGCGCCCAGCCCCTGGTCTTCCCACAACAGCGCTAAACCTTAGATGCCCGGCACCCTGCTGATGAAACCGGACATGTGGCATTTAAGACACCGAGCCTGAATCGCCAGCAGCGCAGGCGGAAGGGCTCTGCCGGGCCAGCGCCGGGAGGTTACCTGCGCAGGGAGAGGGCTCGAGGCACAGGAAGAGGAGAGGAGAGGAGACGGAGCGCATACACACCGGCGAGGAAGCCGCAGCGCCTTGTGGGCTCAGGAAGTTGGCTAACCAGGGCAAAGCTCCGAGCCCTTCTCTATGAAAGGGAGTGTGTGCGGCTGGCAGGACCAAAAGTAAACACGGAAAATTCATTTGAGAATTTCCTGATGGCCTACCGTGCAGACGTTGGGAAGCAAGCTAGCAGGAGACCAGAGTTCTCGGGCGGACTGGTATTGCTGCACCAGCTCCGGTGGGGGAGGGAGCAAGGGGGGACCAAACTCGGGGAGCTCCCGCCTCCTGCTCGTGGAGTTGGGGTGCAGAGGGGCCGGGCAGGCTCGGGCCCTCCTCCAGCAGCCCTTTCCTGCAGGCCAGAGCGGCTACTAAGACGCAGGCCTGGCGATCAGCGACAGAAAGCAACTCCCTTGCACATGGTTCCCGGAGAGCGAGACCCGCCGCGCAGCCTGGGGCCATGTGGCGGTCCCCCCCAACACCGGGTGCACGTTCGAGACTCGCGACTAAGAGCGAAGGAGGTACCCGAGGAAAAGCTACGATGCGCGATGTTGGGGTGCCAAACTCACTTCCTTTGGGCTTTGTCCTTCTTGGCCTTGGTCCTTTTCTTTCGGGCCTGGAGCGCCAGCACTGCAGGAAAGAGGGATGGATGAAGGGCGAGCGCGGGGGGAAGGAAGCCACCACGGTGAGGCTTGAGACCCAGCAGGGGCGCCAGGCCCAGCCGTCGGGCCTGCCGGGAGGGCGGCTGCGGGGCGAGGCGGCGGCCCGGGGATCTGGCGGCCCGCGGGGCACACGGCGGCGCCCAGGCTGGGGACGCCCGAAGGGGCTCGGGCCGGGCCGGGGGTCTTCCTCGCCCGACGACGGCCAGGCCTCCAAGTGGCACCGAGGCGCGAGCCGGCCAGGCGGGGAACAAGGGGCGGGGACGGCCGGCGCCCGAGGACGCCGGAGCTGAGGGGCGCGGACCCACGGCCGGGAGCCGGGGGGTGGGGGGCGGCGCCACCCCCGAGGAGGGCGCCGCACGCCTGAGGTCCTGACGGCGGCGAAGAGGCGAGGTGCCCGGCACTGACTCGGGCCTCGCTCCGGCGGCCGTTGCCCCTCGTGGCGGAGGCCGCTGCACCGCTCACCTTTCCGCTCCATGGCGAGACCGGTAACCGCCAGGCGCCTGCGCACTCGAGTGGCGAAGCGCTCCGGCTCCCGCCGCAACCCCAAACGCAGCCCGCGCAGGCCCCGCCCCGTGCCCGCCTCGCCACGCCTCCCCACGGCGCCGCGCGCCTGCGCGTTGGGCGCGGAGCCTACCACCTGCTCCCCAGGAGGGGGGCCGCGCGGGGAGGGAGGATCTCCGAGGGTGCGTGTGAGCTCGAGGACTAGATGCAGCCAGGGAAGCCTGGCCTAGGGGGACTTGTTCCACTTTCCAGGCAGCTTGTGGTGCCTTAGAAAAGACGCTATTGTGTGCAGAGCGGGAGCCCCTACAGTCTGCTGGAATCTGCCTCAGTTTCCTACGCTGAAAAATGGAGTAATTAGGACTGTCCCAGTTTGTTTCATGAGCTACAGTTGAGAGCCAATTAAGAGACACTAAAGACAAAAAAAAAAAAAAAGAAAAAAAAACCAGAGACACTAAAGACTATGCAAAAGATGAAGGAGAAGAAGAAGAAATTTAAAAAGGAAGTGGGAACCACACATACACACACACACAAAGAGGGAACCTGTAACCCTATCATCATTTAAAAGTAAAAACTGAAGCCAGGCATGGTCATACATGCCTGTAATCCCAGCGCTCGGGAGGCTGAAGCAGGAGGATACTTGCAAGTTTGAGGCTGGTCCACACTGCAAACCACTCTAGACCAGCCTGAACTGCATGGTGAGACACTGTCTCTTAAAAAAAAAAATAGTAAAAATTTCAAAAATCAGTTTTAAAATTTCAAGATTAAATGAAAGCTGTAAAGGGAGAAAGGTAGATAAACACGTTTAATATTTTCTCACACCACTTTATCATCTGTTAGTACATGATAAAGTTTATAGGATATTCTTATATTTTCAGTACATTACTCCATTTGATGTTTATGACAATTTAAAGGCAAGATAGTTATGGCTTCCATTATATAAAGACCTTAAAACTTAGAGGAAACACATACTCAGAATCTTGGTTTCCTGACCCAATAGTTCAGTCATCAAGCTTTTATGGTGAAACAGATTCTGCAAAGAAGGTCGTAGTGTCACCATGGAGGCTTTTTGGACCCCGAGAATTTAGCTGAACTTCTCAGCTCTGCCATTGGAACTCAGCAGCAGGCATAGAAAATACGCTGTCCGTGTTCCCGTCCACATCTACTTATGAACATTGAAATTTGAATTTCATATACTTGTCATGTGTTATGAAATATCCCTGTCCTTTGGATTTTTTTTCAGCCATTTCAAACACTGTTAGCTCAGGCCTAAGTTTGCTAACCTTGTTGTAAAATGCAGTCACGCATAGTTGAAAGAGGGACATGGCCACGCGTGGCAGGACGCCCTTGTAATCCTAGCACTCTGGGAGGCTGAGGCTGGAGGAACCCAAGTTGATGATGGCGACCTTGCAGTTTGTGCCTGGCCTGCAGCTGGACAGGAGGGCGCTCTGAAACTCCTGGCTCTAAAAGACTCCAGTAGGGGGGCAGGTGAGTAGTCAGGTAATTGGGATAGGAAGGCACGCGTGTAATAATACAATCAGAGAAGGCAGGGCAGGCGCGGGCCTCACGCTGGACTTACTGAACAGGTAATGAAGTCCTGGAGGGCGGAGGCAGTTTTTTAACTGGGCCTTGGGAAAGGTGCAGGATTTCCATGGGTGGAGAAGGAATGTGAAAATCAGTTGAGCAAAAAGGCACGACTGGAGCCTCGTGGGTGGGTGCCGGGGCTGAAACAGGAGGTGAGGCTGGAGAGGGAGTTTTGCCCAGTTTGAGATTCAGATCATTAATATCTGTCGCAGGAACCTGAATGATGGCATTTCTGGGCACATTGCAAGAGACAGCGCTTGTTGGCCAAGAGAGACTGCAGCACCGTTTCTGCTTTAACCTGCAGAAGCAAAGGAGAACACGGGCAGAACGTGGGGGCTGGGAGGCTCGCGCTAGCTCAGGAACGCTGTGGGCGGCTCCGAAAAGTCCCGGATTGGGAAACAGCTGCCCACTAGAAAGTGAAGTCTCTGAGGGCTGAGCCCAGTCCCGGTTTTGTTTGTTGCACCCTCACTGCCTACACAGGGCCTGGTGCCTTGCCGGCCGGCGCTCAATCATGTGTCTACGAAAATAAGATGATTTGCACTGCATGAGGAACACCAGGAGGAGAGGGGGACGGTACGAGAGCTTTGCCAAAACCCAAATGGCTACTGCAGATCCATCAAAAAGGCACTATGAGCCGGGTGTGGTGGTCCACACCTGTAATCTCCGTGCTTTTGGAAGGCTGAGGCAGGAGGATCGCAAGTAAGTGTGAGTTAACGCTGAAACCTGTGCTGGTAGGGACATCTAAGAGCACTGATGAGCTGGGGGTTTAGCTCAGTGGCATAAGCACCTGCCTGGCAAGCACAAGGTGATGAATTCGATTCCTGGTACAAAAAAAAAAAAAAAAAAAAAAAAAAAAGAAAGAAAGGCGCTGAAAGCAAAGCAAAACATCACTGAGCCCCGCCTGAGCAACTTAGCAATTTAGTGAGCCGCTGTCTGTAACATTTTAAACCAGCTGAGGACGTAGCTCAGTGCAAAGGCCCTGAGTTCAAATTCCACTACAAAGAGAGAGAGAAGGGAACTGTGTCCAGCTTGCCATGATTCATTCACCCTATTCCGAGACCTTAGTAATTATCTACTTAATCACTCGCTTGAGAAATTTTGCGATTTGATGTGGAAGTCAGTAGACTAATTTCCCAGAATCGACGGTTTTTTCTTTTTTTAAACTTGGTCTTCTTGCCAGGTGTGGCAGCGCATGCCTGTAATCCCAGCACTGGGGAGGCTGAGGCAGGAGGATCGTTGCACATCCGAAACCAGGCTGGGTTACAAAGTGAGCTCAAGGCCAGCCTGAACCGCATAGCAAGACCTTGTCTCCAAAAGACAAAAATAAATAAGTACATAAATAAATTTGGTCTTTTCCGTCTTCTCATCATACTTCACTTTGCTGTACTACTTTTTCTAGCTCTCGAAAAAAGTGCCCAGAAATCTGCCTCTCCCCATTGTTTCTCCCCTTGTTCTACTCCAGCCACCCCTATTTTCCATGCTTGCTTGAAAGGTAGGTTTTCCCCTCCCCTCAGCAGAACTTCGTCTTGCCCTAGTACGAGTCTCGTGAGGTGTATCAGGAAAATCGAATTCTGTTCTAAACCTGAGGATCAGGAAATACAAGCCACACTCAGAAGGATCATTGACAATAATTTAATGACAGGCAGGGCCTGGTGGCACACACCTATAGCCTCAGCACAGCACGTGGGAGGCTGAGGCAGGAGAACTGCTGGGAGTTCAAAGCCAGCCCGGGCTACAAAGTAAGTTCAAGCTCAGGCTGAACTGCATAGTGAGACCCTGTCTCAAAAAGACCAAAAAAGATTAACGAAGGGATGGACGTGTAACCAGGGGTGCCAAAGCTTCCAGGCCCTTTGAGCCGCAGCTGTGGAGTTTTTACCACAATCTGAAAGGAGGAGGGCAGGGAGAGCTGGTGGTGCTTCGCTAGGGCTGTCAGGCTGACTGTTGAAACAAAAGGAATGTATTGCTCCCAGTTTGGGGCACCATGAGACTGAAAACAGGATGTCAAAGGGCTTGGCTCCCTCAGGCATCCAGAGGAGACTGTGCCAGCCTCTCTGCCAGCACTGCAGGTGGCTGTCTTTCCCCTGTGCAGTGCACGTGTCTCCCTGGCTCTCTCACTGTGTCTGCAGCTCTTGTTATGAGGATGCAGGTCGTACCAGAGTGAGGCTCATCCTACACTGTTGCCTGTGCAAAGCCCTTTCTGCAACCAAGAACACACTCAGAGGTCCTGGGGTTCGGACTCCAGAGTACCATTTTTGGGGGCGGGGGGACAAAGGTAGAGCAGTAAGGAAAACTTTCCAGGCTGTGGCCTTTGAGAAGGCCAGCAGGGAGAGAGCAAGGAGGTGAACACTGACCCCTCTCTCCTGTTCCCCTGGGCTAGTGGCCCGCACTGACAGACCCTCACTGCAGGTTAGGAGGCCAAGGGCCCCGGGTTCTGTAGTCCCAGGAGCCAGCCTCCCAGGGCATGGCAGAGCGGAGGAGGGAGGGCGTGGGCCCAGCATAGCCTGTCTAGGCACTGGGTACGCCCAGAGCTTCTGGCATTTTCCAAGCAGGTAAAGCCACACTTGGGTCCCCTGACCACTGGAAAGAATTGAGAATTAAAGGTGCTGGGAAAGAATCACCTTCCTGGCTTCATTCTAGAAGAGCGTAAGCTTTGCACGAAAACTGTGTTTGGGTGAAGGGTGAAGTAGGTAGAGGACAGAAGTCCTTGGCTTGGTGGGGTGGGAAGAGGCAGAAGCTGGCAGGTGGGGAGGAAGAGGAGGATGAGGAGGAATAGGAAGAAGAGGAAGAGGAGGTTGCAGAGACTGGTGATTCCTAAGCCATCGGGGCCCTTGCTCTGCGCCTGGAAGTGCTGTAGAGGGGAAGCAAGATAACTGAAAGTGACCTGAGCTGCTTGCAGGCAGCTCTGAGCTCCTTTGGTTGGCAGTGACAAGCTGGATGTGGTGTGACTTTGCTTCCCCCGCAGCATCAGTCCCAGGTCATAAGGAAACAAACCCCACACTAACACCTGCACAGGCACATTCGGTCAGAACAGCCATTAGCAGGCAGGCACGATCCAGTTCCTGGGATCCATGCTCTTAAGCTCTCAGAGGTCTCAGCGCTGGGTCTTACAGTGGAAGCTTTGTCCCAGTGGCAGAGACAGCTCCATCATTCGCGGGTGGCAGAGGCAGACTTACAGTACGATGCTCCATGGCCGATTCACAGCACAGGTGTTACTGGAAAAGAATTTTCACCAGTGAAAAAGAGTTGTTTGTTACTGTGCATGATGGATATGAGAAGAGTGCTGCCATTGGTGAGATTCCTGGCATTGGATCACTCTGAACTACTCTGTGAGAGCTGCTCTCTGATTGGATAATTGGCTAAGTACCCCTGATGTAGAAGTTGCTGACTGTAACATAGACTGTACTAACTTTAAATCACTGGCACCGGTGCTATCCTTTGTGAAGAGTTGTAATGTTCCCAAGCATCTGTTCTAAGGAGATTTACTTCTTGACAATACTGATTAATAATAATGATAATAGGAGCAATCAGGGACTCCAACTCTTGGAGGAGGCTTAAGAAATTTTAGGGCGCTTTCCCTCCATATGAATTGACAAAACAGGAACGCAGTGGATCTAAGGTTGTGGAAGTACTAGAACAACTTTCTTAAGCATCTTCATCTAGAATATACTTTACCATCTTGATTCAATGACAAATACCGCCATGTTTTAAGGAGACTTGTAAACACGCTGAGATGTTGTGCTCCTAGGGGTGGGGCCAAGATGCTTGTTATTCCTGGCATAGCCAATAGGTCATGTAGACTGGGACAATAAGACTAATAAACTAATGATCTGGGCGTGGAGGTGCACACCTGTAATTTCAACACACAGAAGGATCGCTGCAAATTTGAGGCCATCTTGGGCTACATAGTGAGTTCAAGGCCAGCATGAACTATATAGTGAGAAAAAAAAAAAAAAAGTCTTTTCCAAGCACCATACATGTCTCCTAGATTTCTTATGTGATCTTGGGGCAAGGGATTCTGTAATGACTACGATTTAACTTCTGTAATTTAGCAGGGTCAGGCTCAAGGCACAGGCAATTTAGAAAATACATAAAAATGGACAGCACATTTAAGTTCTGATTTCTACCTCGTAGGCCAGGTTGAATTTATCCTTTTTTTCCCCTCTCAAATACTTCCCCGCATCTTACCTTCATAAGGAGCATTCTCCAGGCATTGGATTCAGGGCTCTGAGATACAGAGAAAAAAAACAAGCCCTGGCTTTGGCCTGCAGAGTCTAATAGCTGACTCTTACACACAATTGCTGTTTACCAGACCCTTGCTGTTCACCACCCTCTAACAGCCCTGTGAGATAAGTACTGGTATTATCCTCTCCGTTTGACAAGATGACAACACTGAGGCACAACTGATTTCACATGAGCTGGGAAGAGGCAGAGTTTTGAATCTGAGCAGCTGAGTTCTGGAATTGGTGCTTTTCTTTTCTTTTGTTTGGAGCTCCTGGATATTGAAACCAGGGCCTTTGCACTGAACTACCCTCAACCCCTTTTGATTTTTTATTTTGAGACAGGGTCTCACTGAATCACTGACTTGCCCAGGCTGAGCTCAGACTCACTGGTGATCCTCCTGCCTCAGCCTCCCAGAGTGCTTGGACTATAGGGTGATTACCACACTGGCTTGGAATTGGTATTCTAGATTGCACACCATATTGCTGTGCCTACCCAGTGTGGTGGAGGATGAATACATCACAAAGTAATTGTATACGAAGCACAGTGTATAATGTACAGGGTACTAGGAGAGCAAAAAGTGGCCTCTGCTCAGGATTTGAGGAGCCTTGAGGAAGGCAGCATCTCTGGTATGAGATGACAACTGAGCAAATTTGGAAACTATAAATAAGCATCAGCTATGCACTGAAGAGAGGGAAGAAGACTCAGGCCTGGTGTGTAGGGGAACCCAAACACTGTGGTATTATTGGGATACAGAATTCAAAGGGGCTGGGCTCACTGGTGCACATCTGTAGTCCTAACTAGTCAGGAGGCTGAAGCAGGAGGATCACAAATTAGTGCCCAGTGTGAAAAATTTAGAGATTTAAAGAAAAATTGTCTCACAATTAAAAAAAAAAAAAAAAAAGATGGGTAATCTCACGATTTGGGAGACTGAGGTAGGAGGATCACTGTGAATTTAAGGCCAGCCTGGCTACATAGTGAGTTTGAGTCAGCCTGGACTACATGATGAGACCCTATCTCCCCTATCTCAAGAAACCAAAAAAAAAAACAAAACAAAAAAAAACTGGGTGTGGTGGTGCATGCCTGTAATTCGAGCACTCAGAAGGCAGAGGCAGGAGGATCACTGTATTTCTCCCCAAATAAAACCTAATTGGAAATTAAGCCCTAGCATTTTTTTTTTTTAATTTTTTGAGTCAAGATCTCGCTGAGTAATTCAGGCTGGTCTTGAACTCACTATGTAGCCCAGGCTGGCCTCAGGCTTACTATGATCCTCCTGCCTCAGTCTCCCAAGTGCTGGGATTACAGGCATGCACCACCATGCCTGGGCCCCCAGCATGATTTTTCAGGATGCTTTTAATATAAAGCCTACTCCCAAAATACCCCCAGTTAAGATGATCAGCCAGATGATACATTTAGTACATCTGTGGCAACACGATGGACATACTGAACTATGTATGTCCAGAAGTTCCAGAAGACAACATTAATATATTTGAATGTAGATTTTTGTACATGAATAAATGTATGTTGTTATACATAATATAAGATGGCCTGAGAATAAACCTTATTATATCTTTTAGAGCATAAACTAATATAAGACTATGTCTTATTTTGGGGGAAATGCAGTGTTGTAGTAGAACTTCTAGCCAGGACCAATGACTAGAAAGTTAAAAGGCATAGAGATTGAACATTCTTAAGTAAAATGGTTACATTATACTTTTGAATGTCATTCAAAAGAATTTGATATGCACCATTGTCTCAGTCAGTTTCTTTTTCATTGCTGGGACAGCATTTCCGACCTACCACCTCAAGGAGAAGAGGTTCTTGGCTACTGTTTTCTGCCCGTGCGTGATCTGCTGGCTCCAAAACACAAGGACAGGGTCAGAGTAGAAGAAAACTGGCTCCATTATGGCAGTCGGGAAGCAGAATGGAAGGGATCCGGAAGAGAAATAAGCTCTTCCGGGTCATCACCTCCCCACCCCCACCCCCACCGTGACCTCCCTCTTCTGACCAGGACCTACCTCCTCCCTCCCTCGGGATTCAGTCATCTCCCAAGCACATCTACAAGTGCTTGGGACCATTTATCTCCAGGGCCTTGACAGCCATCAGCCAGGCAGGAAGCACCCAGCCAGTGTATCTGGGTGTTATAAATATGACACTACCAACACCTGGGTGTGTACTGGATGCCAGGAGAGGAGTGCTTGGGCCATTAGGGGACAGTCTTAATCCAAACCCTAACAACAACCTGCCATTTATATATTTATTCTTAATTTTAGGGCCAGGCATTGAATATAGGACCTTGTACATGTTCTACTGCTGAGCTGTGTCCCAGTTCATCATCCATTTATGTGTATTAAGAACATAAAAATAGCCTTTTTAGCTCTAAAAAATTTAACACAGCTAATTCCATTTTCTCTTCAAACTTGCAGGTCTATTCCCTTTGCCCGTCACAGAAATTTATCCTTAGCTAATTTAAATGTATTATTGTTGCCAAGCATGATGGTGCATGCCTGAAATCCCAGCACTCAGGAGGCTGAGGAAGGAGGATTGTTGTAAGTTTGAGGCCAGTCTGGGCTACAAAGTGGGCTGAAGGCCAATCTGAACTGCATAACAAGATCCTGCCTCAAAAACACCAAAAAATACCCTAAATAAATAAAAATAAAATATTTATTATATAAAGTCCTAGTATACTTCCCTGCCTTGTTTGCATATATTTACATAGAACTTTAATTTTAAAAACATTTCCTGGGATTATAATTCTCTAAAACATGCCTTATCTATCATTGTAATTACTACACGATTAACTAAAGTAATACATAGCATTATTTAAACAGGGTTTTATTATTATTATTTCTTTTTGTACTGGGGATCAAACTCTTGACCTAGAGCTTGCCAGGCAGATGCTGATGCTGCTGAGCTAAATGCTGGCCCTGGGGTTTTTATTTTTTATTTTTATTTATTTATTTATTTTTTATCGGTACTAGGGATCGAACTCACGACCGCCTGCTTGCAAGGCAGGTGCTTATGCCGCTGAGCTAAATCCCCAGCCCCTGGGGTTTTTATTTTCTTTTTTTTTTTTTTTTTTTGTCTTTTTCGTTTTTATCGGTACCGGGGACCGAACTCACGACTGCCTGCTTGCAAGGCAGGTGCTTATGCCGCTGAGCTAAATCCCCAGCCCCTTTATTTTCAATAAAATGAAATTCTATTGCAAATGCATCTCAGAGTAGTAGTGAGTGATGTTTTTCTGAATTCTTTTTTTTTTTTTGTCTTTTTCGTTTTTATCGGTACCAGGGATCGAACTCACGACTGCCTGCTTGTAAGACAGGCACTTATGCCGCAGAGCTAAATCCCCGCCCTGTTTTCCTGAATTCGTACATCATACTATTTTTTTCCCTAAGACTCTTGTTACACAACATGAATAGATACGAATGGAAAAGGTTTTGCTATAGTGATACTATTCAGATCTTTCCAAACTCCTTCCCATTTAATGTGCCAAAAATCACATAGTAATCACCTGAACTTAATGGTCTATCACTGACATCGCCAGGGGGGTCCTGATTCAATTTTGTTGAAAAAGAAAAACTGGAAGTCACCTGACTTGATAAACAGGTGTTAGCCAATCATTAAAGTTACTGACTTCACTGGGCATGGTGGTACAGGCTCAGGAGGCTGAGGCAGGAGGATCGCAGTGAGTTCAAGGCCAGCCTGAACTTCACAGTGAGACCCTGTCTCCAAAACTGAAATAAAATAAAAAATAGGTCAATTCACCAATTTTCTCAATCCAGACCCATTTCTCAGATGTCCCTTTGTTTGGGCCCTGGAAGTTTACATCCTGTGCCCTTGTTATGGTTGCTGTAGTTGCTCTTGTTCTGTGTTTTGTCTGCCCTGCCACTCCTTGGAAGGTAGGTGGCTACTAAAGGCTGGGTTGTTTACTTTATCTCCAGGGCCTTGACAGCCATCAGCCAGGCCAGGAAGCACCCAGCCAGTGTATCTGGGTGTTATAAATGTGACACTGCCAGCATCTGGGTGTACTGGATGCCAGGAGAGGAGGCATCCACTGCACTCATTTGGGTTTTTCAGTCCAAAAATCAACAAAAGATTGTCTTGCCCCAATGCTAGGAAGCAGCAGCATAGATCAGAGGAAAAGGTCCAAGCTTGAATTTAATCAACCAACCCCGGCCTGAATTCTACTTTATTTTGTTTTTTGAGACAGAGTCTGCTATGTAGCCCAGGCTGGCCTTGAACTCACAGTGATCTTCCTGCCTCAGCCTTCCAAGTGCTGGGATTCCACTTGTGCACTCCCTGCTGGCATCTCTCCCACCTGAGGTTCCCTCAGGGACATAAGAAAAGAGAAGAGAAATGGGCAGGCAGGATGCAAATGTAACTCGCTGTGTTTTATTTGAGCCTCTTTTCCCTGGAGGGAGGGGAATGGATGTGAGGGGTGTAAGGCAGAGGGGTTCTGGCACAAACCCCAGAGGTGTGAGGGCACGGGAGGAAGGGACTCTGCTTGAGTAGTGGGACTCGGGGGGGCCTGGGTAGGAATGCACAGGTCATCCTTGGCCTTTGGCTGTGTAGCCTACGAGTGTGAGCCCACTGCCAAGGAAGGAAACCGAGTCACAAAGCAAGCGCTGCTGGTGTGTGTCTGGCGTGGGTCTTAGGAGCAAGTGACCCCTTTAGGGCAGAGGATTCATCAGGCTCTCAGCCCCGAGCGTTCCTCAGATGAGTCTGACTGTGGGTATTTCTATCTCTTCTCCGAAGATCGCCTCCAAGGCAAAGGCTGGGGCTGGGTGCTGGGAGCCGCAGGTTGATAGATGGGCTGGTAGAGATGCCGAGAGTACACAGAAGCTTTCGGTGTGCTTTTGGGCTCCGGCGGCCTCTCGGGCTGTGGGTCAGACACTATCTCAAGCTCCGACTCAGCCTCGGGCTCCAGCTCCTCCAACTCCTCCAACTCCTCGTTCTCTAGGACCCGGTCCAGGCTCATGTCGAGATCCATCTGCTGTGGCTCTTCTTTGGGCTCTACGATGTCGTACAGGTCTAAGTCTAACTCCAGTGACTCATCTTTCGGCTTGCGGTACTTGGGGAGGTGGTAACTTGTATTTGTGGAGCTATCCAGAAAGCCTCGACTCTTATCGTAGAGGGGTTTGTCATTCTGAAAGACACACAGTTAGATCAGACCAGCTAAATGCCGCGATTCCTTTGGCTTGTGAGCAGTCGAGGAATCTCAGCCCACCAGGGCACCGAGGTACGGGAACCAGGGGTTCCTGGCCATGCAGAAAAGGATTCGTGCCTGAATCTGCTTTTCATCTCTGCACATTGGGCTTCTCACTTACCTGCGACTCTTCCAATGCAGTCAACCTTTCACCCCAGATCTCTTTGGCTCTTCTAGCTAGACTGAGTTTCACTGTCCAGCACTTAAGCCAGCGAAAGCCTTGATTTGGAAATAGCTCGTCTCCTTGATTTTACGTAGTTTGCCAATCCCCAATACAAACTTGAAGGCTCTTTGTGACCTGGTCCTGCACCCTCTCCTTTAGCTTCCCCAGCATGGTACCCAACCTCCGTGGTGGCCCCAGCAGCCCAGTGTGGACTGGCAATGGCTGGCCCGCCGCAGGCTTCTTTCTCCCTTCTCGCCCTCTGAGTCTCATCTACACACACACACACACACACACACACACACACACACACACACACACGGCCTCATCAGAACCCCAGCCTCCTCTGGGTCCCAGCCACACCCATTCACACAGCTGTCATTGTGCCACCCGCCACCGGAGGATTCCTTTATTTACAGCTCTGCCCTTCCCGGGCACCAAGATCTTTGAAAGAAAGCAGGAGCCTGGTTTTCGATGCCCCAGTGCCTAGCTCATTGCAGGTGCCCACGAGGCCCGGGAGTCGGCCTGCACCAGGAAATCCCTTTCCTTCTCCCGCAGCACTCAGGCTTTTCTGCTGCCCCCTTTTCCCGCCTCCTTTGCCGCTAAGGGGCTCTTTGCCCTGTCCACTGCTGCCGGGTTTCCACATGTGGAGGCCCCAGAGCCTGCTGCCGGGACCCTTCTCTTCTCCATCCACACGCTCCCTCTAGGTAATTTTATTTAGGCTGGTCTTTTCCATTTCCATCCACCAGTCCGAGCCAGGGTCTCCGGTTACAAACCTTCCTGCAGGCCTATATAACTGACATCTTCTCTTGGGAGATAGGAGTGGGCATCTTGAATTTAACACAAGCCATGAATTTGCATATGAAGTAGAACTTACTTCCATCCCAATCTTTTCCAGGCTCCCAAGTACCTGGGGGAAAAAAATGACCTTCAGTATCAATTCTTAACCAAAGTCCTGAAAAGAATGTCAGCAAGCTAGAACAAAGGCCTTTGTCTGTTGTTGCTACTGCACTGGGGAGTCCTGCCCAGGGTGCTCAACCACTGACCTACATCCTCTGCCTTTTTATTTGTGTTTTGAGTCAGCCTTGCTAAGTTACCCAGGGGGGACTCGAACTTTTGATCCTCCTGCCTCAGCCTCCCTCAGCGCTGGGATTACATGTATGCACCATAGTAGTTGGGTTAGAGAAATACTGAGAGAAACATAGTCAGTAGTGCCTATCTTAGCCCAGTCGTTAGCACTAATCCTGACATGGACACAGGAATCTTATTTTACACAAAGTCAGGAGTAAGATAACCCTCATCACCAGTGCTAAAATTGTTCTGGTTTGTCTAATTTAAGCAGCAATATATAATACTGAAATAAAAAATGGAAACTAAGAAATTAGTATTACTTTTAGTGAATGTTTGTCTTTATAGAAAACTCAAGAGAGTATACAAGGTAACCTGTTAGGATAAGCAAAGCAGCTCACAAAGGTGGCCAGATAAGTTTGTAAAAATCAACAAGTTTCTTATAGCTTAGCTATTGACAGTTGGAACAGCTAATGAAAAAAGAAAAAGGCTGTGTTTTATCAGTGCGGATATTTCTTAATTGAAGTTTTAAAAAACTGGGCACGGGGCTGGGGATTTAGCTCAGCCGCATAAGCACCTGCCTTCCAAGCAAGCAGTCGTGAGTTTGATCCCTGGTACCGATAAAAAGGAAAAAGACAAAAAAAAAAACAAAAAACAAAAACTGGGCACGGTGGCCTGGCACCATGTAATTCCATCACTCTGGGAGGCTGAGGCAGGAGGATCATAAGTTCAAGCTCAGTCTGGGCAACTTTGCAATAACCTGTCTCAAAGTTTAACAAAAATGGGGGGTGGGGATTTAGCTCAGCGGCATAACCTGCCTTTGTAATAACCTGCCTTACAAGCAGGCAGTTGTGAGTTCGATCCCCGGTACCGATAAAAATGAAAAAGAAGAAGAAAAAATTTAACAAAAAAAAAAAGAAAGAAAGAAACTGGGAAGACTAGGGAATATAGCTCAGTGCAAAGGCTCTGGGTTCAATTCTCAATGTTTTTCAAAACAATGAAAACCTCAAAACTACAATAGTAATATTTTTCTTGTCATAAAAATTCAAATGTTGCCAGGTGTGGTGGTGCACACATGTCATCCTAGCACTCAGGAGGCTGAGGCAGGAGGATCATGGCAAGTTCGAGACCAGCCTGGGTTACAAAGTGAGTTCAAGGCCAGCCTGAACTGCATAGTGAGACCCCGTCTCAAAAAAAAAAAAAAAATTCAAATGTTACTGAAACCTAGTAAGTCACAGTATCAAATTTAATTGAAAAATAATTCTTCCTCAATGGATAATACCTGATAGCTAAAGCCATGGATTACAGCTGTAATCCCAGCACTTGGGAGGAGGCTGAGGCAGGAGGAGGGCTGTGACTTGGAGACCAGTCTGGGCTACATGGTGAATTCGATGTCAGCCTCAACTACAGAGAAACTCTGTCTCAAAAACAATAGAACAAAGAAAAAGCCAAACATATTGGATGGTCATCTATCTGTATTACAAAAATGGACCCTCAAGTTACGGACTGGCCTGACGTACCTAGTTGTTCAACTTGGGTTATGACTGGAATCTGAGTTTTAGCTTGCAGCAGAAGTCTTGAGTTCAGACCTGAGTGCCGGCTGCTTGTGCTTCCAGATGGGCTCGGACTCAGATGTGCCCGTTAAAGAGCCCTGGACAGAGCACTGCCTCCGCCTTTCCTGTGTGGGGTGAATGGAGGACTCCCGGGCTAGTGTCTCTCTAAGGACACAAATCGGCCCGAGGACAGGAGAGAAACCCGAAGGCGGTGTAGAGAGGGGCCTAAGCTTGCCACTGACCACCCGAGTTACAGCCAGCCCCCGGGGACATTCGAGTTCGAGTCACAGGTCCACCGCAATTTAATTCTTCGGGAGACCTTTGATCTGCAAGGGCGCCCCATCACAGGTAGGGGCACCACCCAGTAGGTGGGTACCCTGGATGGTTTATAAAGGAACCGAACGCAGGCAGGCTGCTGCTTTTGCTCCTGCTGGCATGTGCTGTTTTGTTGCCCGCTCCCTGCCCAGAGCTGGTTCTCCGCTGCGATGCCCCCTGCTGTGTGCCCTGCCTTGGAGCCAGCTAACCTCAGCCTGAAACCTTCATAAACTGTGAGCTAAATAATCCTTTCCTCCTTCAACTTTGGGTGTCCAGTATTTTGTCTCAATAACCAGAGAATTAACTAAGACACTCCTCCCAAAGTGTAAAGTCAGTTCTAAAGGTGTGTCTAAAGAGAAGGCTAAAATATTTAGCAGTTAGGCTGTGTGCAGTGGAACAGGCCTATAATCCTGGCACTTGGAAGGCTGAGGCAGGAGGATTGCCATGAGTTCGAGGCCACCTGGGCTACACAGTGAGTTAGTTCAAGGGCAGACTGAACCACGTAGTGAGACCCTCTCTCAAAAAAAAGAAAAAAATACATAGCAGCTGGGCATGGCGGGGTACTCTTGTAATCCCAGAACTTGGGAGGCTGAGGCAGGAGGACCATTGCGAGTTTGAGACCAGCCGGGGTTATAAAGTGAGCTCAAGGCCAGCCTGAACTCAGAGAAACCGTCCCTGGACAGTGCATCTGATCAGGTGACTCCTCCCTCCCTGGCCCTCCAGCCTGGGCCCCACAGTGTCCAACCTTGTCCGACTCTGTGTAGGTTTCCTGGATCACCGTCTCGCCCTCGTCCACGCTCAGCTCGGAGTTGTCTGGCGCCTTCCTCGACAAGGCGTACAGCACGGCGTCGTGGAGGGTGAGGAACAGGTGGGCCTTGGTGATGCCATGGTCAAAGAAATCACACTTCTCGAATTCCCTGATCACAGCGGCTGCAAACCAAGCCCGGAGCACGCACAGCATCAGGCACCCGCAGAGCTGGGGCCCAGGTGCAAATGCAGCCCTCTCCCAGGGTGAGGGTACTTACAGTGGCATCCGGTGATGAGCACCAGGATGTTGGCATTTTGAAAAGCATTGCACATCTGCAGGGACAGAGGAAGCCAAGGTCAGGGGCGTTACCCTCCTGTAGAAGGGAAACCCAGGGCTGTAACTCAGAGGTGGAGCCCTTGCCTGGTGTGTGCCAGGTCCTGGGTGTGATTCCCAGCACCGCACATGAAAAAGCCATCATGAGAATAAGTCCCCCACGGGCTGGCTGTCCGGAGTCCATGTGTCTTTACCCCCCAGTCTTGCTCTCCACACATGGAGTGAGCGGACCTCTGCATGCTAGAAATATCCAAAGTGCTGGGAGTGTAAAAAGGAAAGCCCGAGGGGTTAGTGCACAGTATCTGCCCGGGTGAGCCCTGCTCCCTGGACCTCACCGAGCAGACGCAGCACGGTAGCGGCTAGAGGTGGCCAAGTGACACCAAAGGCCGGGGAATCCAGGGTCCCCTTCCATGCTGCTCTGCAGGTTTACATGTGACGTTAGTTAACGTCAGATGTTTAGTAGCAGATAACTAAACCTCAGGTGCCGGCCTGAAGTTGACTTTGGTCAGTATGCACGCTCTGGGGTAGTAAGTCTTGACATCAGCTTCAAAGCGAACAACAAGAACCTTAAAGCTCAGGGAGGGTGAGCACTAAGTTACAATGTCCAGAGGAAAAGAAACAAAAGAGCCTCTGCTCCTATCCATACGGGGGTGGGAGGGTGGAGGAAGAAGGAAGTCATTCTCGGTCCCCCAGTAAACCATAAAATCAAGAAAGAAAAGCTCAAGCAGGCACTCGAGCGGGGGAGTCCCGCAAGGGAAGAACGGCTGAGACAGAGCCCTTGTCCCCAAGATGAATGAACTGCTGGGGTTTTTAATAGGCTTAACTTTTTGATTAGAGGGCAAGTTAAATGTAATGAATTGCTCCAAGAAGGGTGTGTGTAGAATACTTCCAAAGGAAGTAAGAAACCTGTGTTTTCCGGGTGTAACTGTGGACCAGCAATGGCTTGCAGCTGGAGGGTAAAGATGGCCAACTTTGTCTCCCCGAGGCTGGAACAGAAAGTCACCCACACTGGCCAGGTCTACGCCAGGACCAAAATATGTGGAACAGCAAAGGGAGACAGGAGAAGATGGTGCCACCATACTATGGGTGGGGAAAGAGCAAACTGAAGTCAGATGCTGCAGTCCAAATACCAAAGTTGTGAGCCTCAGCCTCCCAGGGGAAACCTGGTCTGTTGTGATTTTACTTTTTAATCGTTTTGAGACAGGGTGTTGCTATGCATTTCAGGCTGCCCTTGAGCTCAGTTTGTAGCCCAGTCTGATCTCGATTTGCAACGATACTCCTGCCTCAGCCTCCCGAGTGCTGGGATGACAGGAGAGCGCCACCACACTGGTGCAGTCTGTGGTGAGCATCAAAGGAGGGGCCGCATGTCCAGGTAAGCAGGCATTCTAGTGTGAACTGAACGAAACGCCGGACATAGAAACTGCTGCACAAGACTGAGAAGAGACCTACGATGGAAAAGCTCCTAAGACAAGAGACGACCCAATTGCTTGGGTCTGAAGACAGTGTGGGTGCGGAATCATGGGTGGGACAGTTCCTGATGCTAGACTCTCCCGAAGCTCTCCTCTTATAGAAAGGAAACAGAGACCTAGCACTATGTCGTGGTCACCTGGGGTCAGATGGGCCAGGAAGCCATAAAGCCAGGACAGAGTACATGTGTCCAGGGGTGGCGGCCACGGTTCCTCTGCCGAGGAAAGCTGTCTGCGGCCTCGGACCAAAGTGGAGCCTGATTCACTGAATTGACAATACACTGCTTCAGGGATAGGAAGGCACGTGAGGGTCGGCTCAAAGGTAGGAGGAAGGCAAACTAAGCAAAGGAGCACATCTCAAAACAGAGTTGGCGCGCTTAGAGCCGGAGGTGACCGGGAAAAGTCAGCTAGAGCGCCACACCCAGGGGCCCGTGGACGGGCTACCAATGTATAATGAAATCGTCTAGGTTAATTGTGCACCTGCAACTCTTAATTGTGAAATGTTCTGAGGAAGACTCGGGAACTGTCACAGAATTAAGAGTAGAACTCAGGACCTGGGGATAGAATTTTGAATGAAAATCATCTTCCCTGTCTGTTTTCACCTAAAGCTGCAGGGACAGCCCAGGTGTGAGGTGTCATTTTGTCCCAACCTCTTTAAATCTGAGTACAGCCCAGCCCGGTGCCTTTCACAGCACCTGGGTCAGAGCAGCCGAACGAGAGGATGCTTGGTTGAACTTGTTTCTGGGGCATTTGAACCTGCTCACTGAAGACCCGCAGCAAACCTAAAAGGAATCACGCAGTGGATGTCGCCCAGATTGTGGCCTCAGTAGTATGGAGCCGCCCCTTTTTTTTTCATTTCCATGAGAAATAATAAAATGGTCCATGCTTGTTCACGAACTGCAGTTCAGTGAGTCACAGTTGGCTCATTTTCATTTCATTTTACGTTTTTATGTTTTGGTGCTGGGAATGGAACTCAGGACCTGGCACTTGCCAGGCAGGCGCTTGTGCCCCTGAGCTCTATCCCCTGCCCTCATTTTCATTTTATTGTGATTGATCTTAAATCACCACCAGCATCCAACTTTCCGGAAATCTTGCAAGCACACAGCAGCTCACTAGTGACCGGCCTGGTTCCTTGGGGATGTCGTGTGGGCGGCGGGAGGGAATCAGAGATTGCGGCCCAGCCTCCCCAGGACGTACCTGTCTCAAGACGACCAAGCCCCGACAGTCCACGTAGTGCACCAAGGAGAAATCCAGGATGATGGTGTGGGTGCTGGGCTGAAGAGCCACGTCGGAGTAAGGGGTGGTCAGCTTCATCTTGCCCGCAGTGGTGTCCTGCAGCGAGGGTATGTTCTTCTGGAGGGAGTTGCTGGAAGCCCAACCTCGCTCCACGTTCTCATAGGGCTCTTCTTGAAGTCTCTGAGACGTGGAAGGCACCACATAGGACAGTTCCTGCTCAACCCCATTGAGCATGCTGTCGCTGGGGCTGGTGGGGTCCAGGTGTGAAGAGTGGACCAGGTTCACAGAGGACGAATCCGGCTCTTTGTATTTAAATCGTTCCGTGTAGGCGATCTGGGAGGACAGAGGCAGGGCGGGCTTGGGTGAGACTTGAACCGAAGCCGGAGGTGCTGGCAGCTATATGGATCTATCTCCGAATTTAATCCCCTCTCATGAGACTTCTCCCCGGCCTGTACATTTTTTTTTTTAAACTTAGATACCTTACTGTTGCTTCAAGCTCATGACTCAGGCCACAACCATCTTTCCCACTGCGTCCTCCTTTACATCTGCCTGCATCCATCTGTGATGTAACTATTTCTCTAGTGAGCCAGGCTTGAAATCACCTTTGATCAACTCCGTTCCTTTATCCGTGGGTCCCTACCCCTCCCCAGTGCCAACTGGTACTTTGTGTGAAGTGCCTCTTTCTAGTCAACCCCTTTCCTTTTTAAATTTTCTGCAGAGCTTTCTAAAGAAGACAAAAATTCCTTAAGTGGGATTGACTTTGTCTCTCACCCTTTCCCATGGCCAGTACCAAGGACCAGGAATGCAAGGGCACACGAAGTGTGGGCCAGGCTGTGTGTTCACATAGATCCGACCCTCCAGGGAGAAGGGCGTGTGTCCACGGAGAGAATATGGAACCACGTGTGTGGAAGGCACAGCTCCACCCATGCAATCATGAAAAGAACTCAAAAAGAGGAACCAGGATATATCATGTATTGGTACCAAATTCCCTATGATGAATGTGATCATTATGTATCTAAATTGTACCAACAAACTTAATTACAAAAAAAATAATTCATAGGTTTGTGTGGTAAGCCATGACTTCCAGACACGCATCAGGGTGCTGGCAGCTTCTGCTCAAGAAAGCTGAGTGCTGGGGATTTAGCTCAGCGGCGTAAGCACCTGCCTGGCAAATGCAAGGTCCTGAGTTCGATTCCTGGTACCCTTCACCCCCTGAGTTTGATTCCTAGTACCTTCCGCCCCCCCTGCACAGAGAAATGGAGATAGATGAGCTTTCACAGTCGACACCTACCTGAATTGGGTGTGACATTTCCTCTACCCCTTAAAGGGACTCCTTGACATAATTTGGAAAGCACCATGCCATGCCACAAAATTACTTAAGAACCCGAAATCATTTCTGATATGAAAGCTTAAAGTTACTTAAAGTTTTGAAAATGACAGTGAGAAGCCACAAAGAAAATTAAATAAATGTGAGGTCTTTTAAGGGGAAAATAATGTAATAGCCAACTAATGTTTTTAAAATCCTGTTATCATACTAAGAGTATTGTGAAATAATTTTTAGGACTGGAAGTTTGGCTCAGTGCTTGTCTGCTTAGCATGTAGGAGGCCCTGGATCCAATCCTGAACATAAAAAATGAATTAATAAATATTAAAAGTAAAACAAAAAGTTGAAGATAGGAGCCAGTGGTGTAGCTTGTGGGTAGAGTGCTTGCTTAGCATGGATGAGGTCCCAGATTTGATGCCCAACATTGTAAAAAGGAAAGAAAAAATAAAAGTAGCCCAGACAGATGATAACATTACTGGAGAGAGCTGGTCTCCAAAGTGTGGAGGGCACTGAGGCCAGGCTGCTGGGGGACAGGTGTGGCGTGGCCCGTGGGCCTTCGCTGACAGCCTCCTGCTCGCCCCCTCACAGCTCTCCAAGCCCGTCTTTCCCACAGCTCCCTCAGGCCGGGTCAGCTGCCCTGTCTTCCCAGGCCGCCTGGCCCTGAGAACTTTGTACCTATTTCTGCCGCACTCTCCTCGCCCCAAGCATAACAAAAGCAGAGAATCCTGTTTTTTCCCACCCAGTGTCCATCTGGACATCTTTCTACCTAGCACAAGCTCATCACTAACATGAAGATTCTGACTTCTTACTTCAAGTCTTAGAATTGTTAGTCCTTAAATACACAGTTTAGAAGATAGCAATATACAGGCCCAACGTGGAGGTGCAGGCCTGTAATCCTAGCGCTTGGGAGGCTGAGGCAGGAGGATCACTGTGAGTTCAAGACTAGTCTGGGCTATATAGTGAGACCCTGTCTCAAAAAAAAAAAAAAAAAAAAAAAAGAATAAAAAGATAGTGATCTACACACTGCGTTGTATAGTTCGTTATCCTATTCAATAAATTTTAAGTCATTCCAATAATTTTGTACTATTAAGAAAGAAAAATGCAGGGGCTGGGGATTTAGCTCAGGCGCCTACCTTGCAAGCAGGCAGTCGTGAGTTCGATCCCTGGTACGGATAAAAACAAAAACCACACACACAAACACACACACACACACAAAAGAAAGAAAAATGCTTAAGATTAAAAACTAATTTATTTCCCCAAACAAGACTGGACCTTATATTAATTTTTGCTCCAAAAGATGCACTAGTCCTTATTTTCAGGAGATGCCTTTTTTATGTACAATAATCTACATTTAGTGGTGTACAAAAATGTACCTTTATTCAAACGCAGTCCACTGTCTCTTCAGGAGCATCACTGTAACTCTCCGAGCCCCAAATCCTGGCCTGCGAATCTCGTGACTCTGCTGCCAGGGACCCAACGGCCCTGTCTCTTGTGTCTAGCACACAGCTCTTCTTAAAGGAACACTCGTGTCCTCTCAGCCTGCCCCGAGTACACTGCTGACACACGCCCTGCTGAACTGGGAAGACCCCACTAGGTCTGTTCATTATCAAATGCACGTGCTACTCGTGCAGTGAGTTTACACTTCGCCTGGTCACTTGGCCACATGTTGGGTGTGTGTCTGCCTACCTCTTGTCTGAAGTCACTCGTGTGGGTGATCTGCAGGCCCTGTGCGGCAGGGGCCAAGAGGGGCATGTGTCTGTGCCTGTCTGTGTGTGTGTGTGCACGTGTGTGTGATGGCTGTGGACGCTGCTGCTCCCAGAGGATAGGATGTGCACCAGCCTAGCCCTGCCAGGCCCGAAAAGCTAGGCATGAGTAGTCTTGTCTGGCAGGGAGGACAGTTTAGACCAAGCCCAGGGAGGAACGGTCGGTGCTCACTTTGTCATAGCATCAGCTGCGGTCACCTTCAAATGCTGTGAACTCCTCTCTGCAATAGCAGCCTGTGCTCCTCTCCTCTGACTCTGCCCCCCTCCTCCCCCATTGTCACGGCCTTGAGCACAGGGAGATATCAGGAGGCCCTGACAGGAGCCGCTCTGACCCTGCCCAAGTCTGAAGCAGAAAACAGTCTTTGTCACTTAGTTCCAGAAATCTAAAGCTAGGAAGTAAAAGCCAGGGAAATAGGGATGACGAAAGAGTGGCTTGCAACAGGCAGATGGCTCTCATCACCAATCATAGTCATTTTTCTCTACATTCGCATCAAAACCTGAACCTCCAGGTGGGGAATGTGTGTCTTCATTTCTGAGTAGAGATCTTGGATTTCCAATTTTTCACAAAGCCATTCACCGGTGTCATGGCAGATAACCTGTAATTCTAGCAGTGTGGGAGACTGAGCTGGGCAGATTGCAAGTTTGAGCCCAGTTTGGGCAATTTAGCAAGATCTTGTCTCAAAATAAAAAAGGGCTAGCCAGGTGTGGTTGCGCACACCTGTCATCCCAGAACTCAGGAGGCTGAGGCAGGAGGATCGTGGCAAGTTTGGGACCAGCCTGGGCTACACAGTGAGCTCAAGACCCTGTCTCAAAAAGACAAACAAATAAACAGAAAGAGGTTCTAAGGAGGGAGCTCAATGCAGAGGAATGTGGTTCCATCCCAGTGCTGGGAAATAAAACAAAACAAAATAAAACCAAACCTCTGAATCTCTCAGGGTATAAAATGTGGGCCACTCTGGGGCAGCAGGGATATTCCTAACCCTGGGTGGTGGTTCCAGGTCTTCACAGCTGCAGAAGCACCTGCATATCTTCTCTCTCTCCAGGCTGGTTTCGCTTTCATTGAATAGGCCGAAGATCTCTTCTTCTTCCAGGGGCACGCTTACCATGCCAAGCTGAAAGACAGCCGCGGGGCGTGTGGGAAGGAAGGCGGCGGGGCAGGGGGACAGGGGGTCAGCAGGGAGGGCGGGCCAGAGCGGCGTGGTCACCTCCTTCAGCAGCGCGCTTTTCAGGTGGTACACGTTGATGAACGTGATGGCGTTGCAGCACTGGAAGATTTGCACCCCAGGAATAATTATGAGCTGCAAGACACAGTATAAAGTCCTACTTTTGTTTTGTACTGTTTTGGGGTACCAGGGATTGAACTCACGACCTCCCACTTGTCAGGCGGGCCCAAAATCATAGGTTTTTTTTTTTTTCAGTATTGGGGATTGAACCCAAGGTCTTTGAACTGGGCTACACCCCCACTCCATTTTTTATTTTGAGATTGAGTCTTATTAAATTATTCTAGCTTGACTCATATTTGTGAAGTTCCTGCCTCAGCCTCCCAGGGTGCTGGGATTATAGATTTGTACCACTACACCCAACTCTCAGATCTGTGTGTGTGTGTGTGTGTGTGTGTGTGTGTGTGTGTGTGTGTGTGTTTTCTGTCTTTTTCAGACAGGGTTTCACTATACAATTCAGGCTGGCCTTGAATTCACTTTGTAGCATAGACCTCAAGTTAGAAGTGATCCTCCAGTCTCCGTCTCCAGAGTTCTGAGATTGCAGGCATGCACCACCATGTCCGGCTTCAGTAAAGTAAAATTAATAAATCTGCATCTTTCTCTGATAGAAGAAGCAAGAACTAGAGGATCCTTCCCTCCCATTTTCACCCCCTACTTTTGTTTTGTTTTTCCTCAGTGTCTCCTCTCTTTATCTTGCTGCTCCCTTCCTTAAAGTTCATTTAAAACTCTTTCCTTTCTTTTCTTTTCTTTTTTTTTTTTTGGCACTGGAGATCGAACTCATGACTTCATGCTTGCCAGGCAGGTGCTGGTGCCACTGAGCTAAACCTCCAGCCCTTAGAAACTCCTCTCTTTCTGCAGTGCCTTAAAGATTCAGCTCCTTTTTTTGGGCCTTTTTCCTTTTTATCGGTACTGGGTACCGGGCATCGAAGTCACGACTGTCTGCTTGCAAGGCAGGTGCTTATGCCGCTGAGCTAAATCCCCAACCCCAAGATTTAGCTCCTTAAGGGCCCACCTCTCCCCTGTGCCTCATTTCCTCCTCCTTCAGGAATAGACAGCTGACAAGGGCAGAGGAGTCTGTGGAAAACCTAAGCACCAGGCTCGGCCACCCCATTCTTTGCTCAGGGAGTGGGGCCGAGAGGGCGCTTACCTCCCGGTAGTCAGTGATGCTTTTATAGAGGTTGGTGTGGGGGACCTGGCCCAGGCAGGTGACTTCTGTTCTGGAAGGAGATGCACCCGCTGTGAGGTGGTAGGGCCTCCCCTTGGCGCGGCCAACCTCCTCCCTGAGCCAAGGTACCTATGCGACCGCACGGTGACGATGAAGAAGGCGAAAAGCAGTGAGATCACCAGTCCTACATCCAGTCCCAAGAAGACCGTGGATATGAACGTCACCATCCAAGAGATCTGGTGGGAAGGCGCTAGTTATGGTTCCTGTTTGGAGTCCCCCCAAAGCCTCAGGCAGTCCTGGAGGCAGCTGAGTCTAGTGCCTGTGATTGGCTCATTGTCTGGGGCCGGGATTGGTGGTGTGAGTGCTGCACCTGCCTAGGGGTGGGGAGCCGGCATGCGATATAAAGGAGGGAAGGAGGTGGGCTTTTCCCTTTCTGCCCTTTTGCTCTTGTTGCCTTCGGTACTTGCTGCTGCTATGCGTCGACCCTCAGCCATGCCACCCTGCCTTGGAAACAGCAGAAACTGGAATGAACAGCAAGCTAAATAAACCCCAAACTATAAACTAAGTAAATCTTCTGGGAGGATGCCACCCCTTTCCTCTGCCGTCACAATCTACCCTTGGGATTTAGAGACAAAACTCCAAAGGGATGTGGTCTGGTGTGGGCATGCACACGGCTGCTTGGCAATTTTTATTTTTTTAATTTTTTGTCTTCTTTGAGACGAGGTCTCACTATGCAGTTCAGGCTGGCCTTGAGCTCACTTTGTAAGCCAGCTGGTCTCGAACTCGCAATCATCCTCCTGCCTCAGCCTCCCGAGTGCTGGGATGAGAGGTGTGTGACACCACACCCTTGTCTGGCAATTCTTTATGTGTCTGGGGCCATCCTTTGTCAGTCCTCTCTGCAGTCCTCCGCTCCTTTACATCCACACTACCAGCGGGTGGTAGTTTTATCAGTTACTGCCAATCTGCAATACCCACAGCAAGACCTCTACCCAATCGCCTGTGCATCTGCCTCAGCAGGTGACCCTGGTGGTCACCTTCACAGGACAGATGGGCAGAGATTTCTGTAGATATTTCCTCCCCGGCCCTGGCCACCTGCTGATCTCTGGCCCCAGGCTTGGCAGGCTGGTGGGTCAAGGATAAGGAGCTCTCTCTGTGTACTGGACCAAAGCCCCTCTTACCCTCAGCACCCTGGCTGTGCAAACCCCTCTTCCCCCTTCCCTGCCTCTGCTTTCTCCCAGGCCAGCCCCTACATTTCACTTCTTGCTGCTTTCCCTTCCTGTCCTTTGGTTTTGTGTTTGAGGAAGGGGAGTGGCCCAGTGGTCATTCTGCCTTGAAAAATCCCCTTTCTTCCCTTATTAAGATTTGAGCCTCTTGCAAAGAGCAATGGTGCACGCCTGTGATCCCAGCTCTCAGGAGGCTGAGGCAAGAGATCACCTCGAGTTCATGGCCAGACTGGGCAACACACTGAGCTTGAGGCCAATTTGAACTACGTAGCATGACCCTGACTCAAACACAACAACAAAAGTTTTAACAGAGGATTTGTGTCTCTTATTCTGGAAGATATTTATATTGACAAATAAAAGTCATTTGAACACACAGTGGATGACAAGGCCCTCTTACTGGGATGTAAGGATAACCGTGGCCACTCCAGTCCATTTCATGTTGTTCCATTTTGGGACTGGCGGTTTAGCTCAGCGGCATAAGCGCCTGCCTTGTAAGCAGGCAGTCATGAGTTTGATCCCCGGTACCGATAAAAAAGGAAAAAGACAAAGAAAAAAAAAAATAGTTGTTCCATTTCATTTCGTAGAGTTGGAAGGAGGCCTCTATGTACCCACTTTGACTTTCCTTATAAAAACAAAAATAGAAGAGCAGGCGCTCTTCCCGCCTGTGACTGGTCTCTTTGGCTGGCTTCCTTCCTCCCTCCCTGTCCCGGGCCAGGGTGTGGGCACTCACACAGTCGAACTGGTCCTTCCTCCACAGGCCGGGGAGGTTGTAAATGACTTGCAGGTAGGGAATCACGTTGATCAGGATGACAGCGGCCAGGATGACCTGTGGGGCAAGGGGAGCTCCCTTCACTTTCCAGCTGGTGACAAAGCTCCCAGATGCTCACCGGGCCACAGAAGTCAGTGTGGCACGCAGAGATGGTGAGTGTTGCTGTTTTGTGTGAATACAATGGGCTCCAACTCACAGTTTGACCAAATAAATATTCTCCACGTTTCTAGGTCCTCCCCGCTATAATTTGTCAAACACACTAAGCAAGGTCAGGCCAGGGCCAAGGCCAGGTCCGATGGATCCCCTCGGGAAAGCTATGTCAGTCGCTTTCAGATTTAGCGAGTTTAAGACTCACGCAGACCACGAGAGAAAGAGCAGGCAAAGATTGCATTCGTCAAGTCCTGCCTGGCTCCCGATGTCACTTTGGTGTGTGGGACGGGAACCCTGGCAACTGACACCTCATCTGTGTGTCCTTGTCTAGTTCGTGTGAGAAATCTGTTACTTCTGTGGTCTGGAAACCATTATCAGACGAGTGGATAAACACTAACTCACAGAAATTCTAAAACAGTTCCAATTGGGCTTTCACTCAAGTTTCATAGTGATACACTACAATTGCTTCACCCAGGAGATAATGTTTTGAGAAATTAAATTATAAATCAAAAACATCGACAAGACCCATGTTTACAGTTATGAGTATAAACGGGCACTGCCCTTTTGGAAAAATCACTTGGCAGTTGCTGGGCATAGTGGAGCATGCTTGCAATCCCAGCACTCAGGAGGCTGAGGCAGGAGGATCGTTCTAGACCAGCCTGGGTTGCATAGTGAGATCTTATCTCAAAAAGACCAAAAAAAAAAAAAGTCCAAAGGTTCTGTGTTCTGTGAGCTGAGTTCCTGAGAATATATGGATTTGCGCCAGTTAATTAACACACCTGGCACCTTTCATCTCCCTCACAGGAAAGAAATGGCACATACATACCAAGAGACATCTTACGTGACCTGGAACTCAATTTTCAGAGCTGCCTTCTAGCGCTGCGAACTAACCAGGAGGCAGAGGGACTGGCAACAGGCGGGCACAGCTGGGCTGCCCTGCAGCAGTTTGAACATGCTCAGTGCGAGCCGACCTGGGCTGGGCGGAGTCGGCACCTGAAGCTGCCCCAGGCCCCTTTCACGGAACCCTTAGTTAAGAAGTTTAGAGCTGAAGCAGAAAAAAAGATGGGAATGATACCAAGAGTAACGTTTCCCGGGCCGGGTGCAGCACAAGGGTGGGAGCGCTTGCCTAGCACTCGCCAGGCTCCGGGTTCCAGCTCCATCTCCGAGAAAAAAGAACAATGTTGCCTCTTTCTTTCTTGCTCGCTTGCTTTCCTGAGACAGTCTCACTGTGTAGTCCGGCTGACCCAGCACTCACTACACAGTCCGCGGGCCTCAGCCTCTCAAGTGCTGGCATGACAGGGGGCACCACCATGCCCGGGGTAAGGATAATCTATGTTACGCACATACTGTAAGTCTGACACTATCTTGTTTTATATATACACATACACACACATATATATCACATATAAGTAGACATATATCATATTATTTAACTCAGCCTGTGAATTAGCTGCTGCCATTTTAAAGGAAAAGGACAACACATCCCCCAGAGAGCCCTCTGGGGACGTATAGCATGCATTTTCCTGAGGTGTCCTGCCAAGACGCCCCCAGAGATCTGGTCTGTATGTTGGCTGGGGGCTGAGTGGGGGGACACTGGGACTGAACCCCAGGCCTTCACACTGAGCTACGTCCCTGGCCCTTTGTATGGTTTTTATGTTGAGACAGGGTTTCGCTAAATCGCCCTAGCCTGGGTCAGAATTGTAATCCTCCTGCTTCAGCCTTCCAGCGTGCTGGGGTTACAGGCATGCGTGAGTGTGCCCAGCTTTGGCCCTTTGGGCCCAGTGACGTGATCAGGTCTACTTACATTAGGCAGCTCGTAGAAGAAGCGGCCCACCTTCACCATCAGGAGCAGCATCACACCTGCGCCTACCAGGGATGCAAACTGAGGAGACAGAGCGGGTTGGAGAGAAACCGTGAGGAACAAAAGTGGCCCCAGCCGTCACCGAGGCCTTCTGCCTAGTGAGAAGCAAGCCGGTTTTTTTTGTTTGTTTGTTTGTTTGTTTGGTTTTTTTGTTTTTTCTTAAAGTACGTGGGCACTCAGTCTACCTGCACTTTTGTTCAGCCGACACTTCCAGGTCTTATCACTGTGCCAAACACACAGTGGGTCCCAGTGAATATCTGTCAGTGATTGCATGAATGCACTCTGCAAGCTTCCAGACCTCCTGGGTATTTGACTCTCCTGCCACAGCTCTGTGCTATGAACCCGAAGTCTCCGAATATGTGACTCCCACTCCTGCAAAACTTTCACCTCTCCTGGAGCAACGTACAAAACTCCTCGTGGCCCCACCGACAGCTCTAAAGCCCCACCCATTCTACCGTGCAGGGAATAAGCATCCCACCCCTTGCTGTCCTTTGATGATAACCAAATGTTTCTGCTTTAATTTTTCTCTGCTTTGGTGCAGTCAGAAAAAGGCACCAGACTGGGGCTGTGACACAGCGCTTGAAAGTTTGCTTAGCATGAAGGAGAACCTGGGTTTTGTCCCAGCACTGCAACGCACAAACACACAACATGAAACAAACAATTTGAAAGCCAGACATGAGCTCAGGGTGTCTACAAAGGTTCTGATCTGATCCCAGCCAGGCTTGCTACTTTGGGCTCAGTGATTCATCTGACAAAGAAACAGGATCCCAGAGCTCTCTGGACATAGTCTTGGGTTCATTATGTCCTCTATTGGCAGGAGGTCAACCCCTACTAGTAAAATAATAGAAAGCAGTGTCATTGTCACTTTCCATAGGGGTAAAGCTACCACAGATCGAAACAATGGCATATCCAAGCAAGATCTCCGGAAGCTCCAACAAGAAACATGGCAGACACCGGGGAGCTAAGAGAGGTAACTGAGCCCAGGAGCCCTTCCAACCAGCCCTCAGGACGAGAGCCTCAGAGGGCAAAAGTAATTTGCCCTCAGTCAGCTACGCCTCAGAAGCTGGTGTCCGACCTCAACTCCCCGGATCCGGGCTCTCTGCACTGCTGCGTGTCTGGCTGGAGAAAGGACAGCACATTTTCCTCTTATTATGATTTGTTTTAAAGCAGCTCTGGGGGCCTGGGGACAAGGCAAGAAGGCCAGTCCTTGGAAAGCAGGGAATGAGGACCCAAACACGCGGTGTGGCAGTCAGAACTGGATGAGCAGGAAGAAACCAGGGACAGTCCAGCCAGCCACGGGCCTTGGCCAGTGTCTGGATCTGCCCCTACCTCAGGCTGAGCCTGTGGCCAGAAGGATCAGGTGGTTTTGCTTTTTGCTGCAACCAGTGGAAGGAAATGGGCTCTCGACCGGGAAAGGATGAAGTAGAAGCCAGGTGCCCACACAAGGTGCATGTTTATGCCGGATCAGAAGCACAAGTGGCTTCTGGTGGAGCCCGGCGGCTCCACAGCCTGGATGTGGGGGTTGGGGTCCACTGCATGCCCTGTCCCAGCCAGCGATTTGCACTGGGCATTTCAGGGTCCTCCTGGGGACACAGCTGCCCAGCCAAGGCCACTGCAATACCGTGAGGGCTGTCACTAGAAGGAAATGGGCCACACTGCATGTGGAAAAGGCAGCAGCAGAAGACGGAAAGAGCCTGGACTGCCTGGGCAGGTCCCCTGTCTGGTGATGACCGCGGACTGGCTCAGAGGGTCCACCTCACCCGCACCTGCAGGGACCCACAGAGCCCGGCCTGTCTGCTCCCCAGCCAGTGCGTGGCTGCTGTGCTCTTCCTCTCTGGCCACTTGGTGCAGGACGGAGGCATCCTGCTTGTAGGACAGCCCGAGGCTCCTCTGTGGGCCCCGGCCCCTGCTGTCTGCATGGATTCCGGCCCCGTGGGCTGCCCTGACGGGCTCATTGGCTCCATCCTCCCTCTCACAACCTTTACAGCACTGTTTGCTAACGGTGCTCGTCCCACACTCCGCTCCCCTGCACTGTGGCTTCCCTGTGCTCAGCGGTGTGCACCTCGCCTTCCCCAGTTCACGCTGGACAAGCAACGCACGGCATGCCATAAAAGGCCAGCAGAACTGACCCGGCTCTGCCATTTCTGTGTATCATACGACACTCTCATTTTTCTTTTGTTCCATGTCTATATCTTGTCATCTGAATAACTCTTTTGAAGATAACAATACACAACATATTAACCAGCGTTAGTCTCCTATTATTTGGTTTTGAAATTCTGTATCATCACTTTTATTCTTTTTTGTTTTTAAAATAAAACAAATTTAAAAACACTCCCATTTTAATTTAAAGGTTTTGCATCTTTGTACAGGACATTTCTCTCTCTTGGTCTCTCTGTCTTCCTCTCTGTCTGTGTCCCTTTTCCCTCTGGTACCAGGAATTGAACCCAGGGCCTTTACACTGAGCTACATCTCCAGGCTCCTTCACTTATTTTGAGGCTGGGTCTTGCTAAGTGGCCAAGTTGGTGCATTGAGCTTGAATTTACGATCCTCCCGCCTCAGTCTCCTAGAGGGCTGGGATTACTGGCACTGCATCACTGCACGCAGCCACTATCAAGCAGGAGTGGAAGAGGCCACTGTGAGGACAAAACTCAGCTCCTATACAATGGCACACTGTCGTCCTGCTTGAGGTCTTTGCTCCTAATCTCTCTGACATTCATGAGCTTTCATCTTCTACGGCACTCACCTCTGCCCACGGGCTATGACACTCACACTCATCTCCCTGACTGAGCGTGTTCCTCTGCCACCTCTGCCCCTCGGCTTCTGGTTGTGGCCATCCCTGAGCTCTGCTCCCTGAGTCTGTCCTGGCCTAGTGCTGTTAACTTTCTGGCGCTGGTTCCTAACCCAACCCTAACCCGAACCCTAACAGGACCCCTCTCACCCCATCTGGCTGTCTTGTGGTCAACCAGTTTGAGACTCGTGAACACTGGACTGCATGCAAACACTATACTAGTAAAAATTCACCAGAAACAAAACCTCACGCCTGCTGCGAGGCATGATTGGCTTTAGAGTCTTCTCTAGAACCATTCTTTCTCCCTCACTACAGAGTGCCAGTTAGCAAGCATTAGTTACTCATTCAGAATATCTGAAGGGACCCTGACCTAGGCTATTTCCTCTTATATGGAGCCGGGTTGTTGTTGCTGTTGAGACAGAGTCTTACTATGCAGCTCAGGCTGGCCTTGAGCTTACTTTGTAGCTCAGGCTGGCCTCGAATTCACCATGATCCCCCCCCCCCAGCCTCCCGAGTACTGGGTTACAGGTGTGTGCCACCACATCTGGCCAGAGATGGTTTTAAGTGCCCAAGATTTCCCTAGACAAGTGCCTGACCCCATCCCAAAAAAGGCCCTCGCCCAGTCTGGCCTTGGAGGAGGCCTGCAAAAGGTTTGCTTTGTTGCCAGGGAGAGGAGAATTATATTTTTACTTTCCCGGCTTGAGAGTGCGGCTGCATCTCCCCATGGGTTGTGTGTGGGGAAACAGCTGATGCTAAGATTGCCTGAGATATTATTCTTTGGGTACACTACCCGCAAGCTGGATTTCTATGGGTGATCATACGGAAACCCTTCATATATGACAAAATTTCTACGGCAAGTGAATTTCAAATTCCATACTGACCAATAACTTTTCAGATAAAATCTGAACAAAAATTAAAGCAAGTATGGAATCGATGTAAGAAGTCTCCCTCATCACACGCAACACTAAAACAAGATCAAACCCACCTAACCCCCACCATGAACGCACACGTGAATTGTGGTAAATATTTCCGTATGTGGACAAATTTTCCTTTAACGCACCTGCTGTCTGCCTCCAGATTTATCTTGGATCATGGTCCTGGCAACGGCACCAGTGAACACGTGCGAGCTGAAGCAGGCGCTGATGACATTGCAAAGGCCGATGGCTATCAAATCCTGCGAAGAGATGCACACCCCTGATGGCCGCTGTTTGTCGGACGATGTAACCCAATTTTGAGCTAAAAGGACACTGTTTATTTCCAGTGTGTGAAGATCATGTTGTTTATGTCACTTCAAACAGTGCTCTGAAACCTACTTAGGACAAAAGGTTGGCGAGCTGGGTGATCCAGATTAAGCTGCATCTTCATGTACCGAGTGACCATAAGGAAGACACTCTCTTGGGCTAATAAAATGAACCCCTGCCTTTTACTCTTTCTTGGCATGGCTGGGGGCACTGTGAGGCCACTCTTCTCCCTCGTTTCCATGCTACCCTAACAGCCAAGAGAGGACCTCCTGCCTTCATATTTCCCCCATCAGGTCAAGAGAAAGTGCTAAACAAAGTAGGTGGCATGTTTCCTAAAATGTAATAATAAGAATATAATAATAGACCAAAAGACAACTTAATTACATATGTTAGTACCCTGACTATTTATTTCTTTGGTACTGAGAATTGAACTCAGGACCTTATGCTTGCCAGGCAGGCACGGTGCTCTGAGCCTGATCCCTTGTCCCACCCCAGCTTTTCATATGACACCCAGAGCACTTCTGACCCTGATTCAGTGTGTGGTTGGCTTCTAAGCAGGGGGCAGAAAGACAAAACTGAGAGGTTCTCTGCTGCCTCAGGGTACCATATATTATAATCTCGCCTCTCTGCACTGTATCTGTTGTAGGGGAAAAACCTGTGTGTTAATTCCGGCAGCTTCAAAGTTAAGTATCCATCAGCTCTGGAAAATCTTTTTGTGCTAACAGGGTAATCCTTGGTCCAGGGACACTCAGGTGAACGAGTTCAACCTTCATTTTGCAGGAGGTTCAGAGAGAGTAAGCAGAGACTTACAGGTCAGAAGAAAAGTAGGGTTCTCTAGCCGGTGTGGGGGGGCACACCTGTCATCCCAGCACTCAGGAGGCTGAGGCAGGAAGATCTCCATGAGTTCAAGGCCAGCCTTGGCTACATAGGGAGTTTAAGGTCAGCCTGAACTACACAGTGAGACCTTGTCTTACAGAAAAGAAAAGAAAAGAAAAGAAAAGAAAAGAAAAGAAAAGAAAAGAAAAGAATCTTCTTACCTGGTTGGAATTGACTCTGTAGTTATGGAAACTGGCGATCTTCCTGCCCAGAAATATGAGCAGAAAGGAACTCACTAAAGACAGGGAGATGGATTGTAAAACAATGTATCTGATAATGCTGAAATCTGGTAATGTAGGAGACACCAAGCTGTAACAAAAGGACAGAATTATTCCGGAGGGGCCTAGTCTTGTCCTGGCCCTGCCCCACGCCCTCCTTTTCATCCTGGCAGGCCTGACTCTGTCTCTCCAGATTTCCTTGCTGCATTCGGAGATCCAACTCAGGGCTCTGCACATGTTAGGCAAATAGTGCTCCCACGAGCTCTCCCCAGCCCTTGTTACTTTACTCGGACACAGAGTCTCTCTAAGTTCCCCAGGCTGCCTGCAACTGGTGATCATCCTCCTGCGCCACCACAGTAGCTGGAATTACAGGCATGGGATAAAAGACCAGCAGAGCCACCAAGGCAGCGCTTGCCAGCACCACCAGCCAACCAAAGCCACGTCAGGAAAGCTGTGGAGAGAACGCACTGCCCTGGCCCCTCGGCTCTGCAGCGACGGCGAGAAACGGGACAAGGATGGGTGGAAATGGTCTCTCGGCAACATGATCATCCCGGTGAGTAACTCCAGGCAGGCAGCAGTCTAAGAAGCTTTGGAGCCGGAGGTTCAAAGCTTTTCTTCTCCTCCCCTCACTTTCTTCGGGGTGTAGCTTTACTCACTGCCCCGAGTACTCACCCTCTCCTGTGGTTCTGAGGCCAACACAACGCCACACCACGTGTTTTGCTGACACTCAGCGTTGTCTAACTCTACTAGAAGAACGTGGTCTGTTTGTGCTAAGGTCCTGTGGTACCCAACACTGCTCTTCACCTTGTGATCCAAACCTCTTTCCAGGTGTCACTGCCTGCCCTCTTAGCTAGGAAGCTTCTTGTTCAACACAATCAACTTTCTTCTGGGTATAACCCTCAGACTGCCCGGAGTATTTTTTAAGTCATATTTTTTTCATGAGACAGGGTCTCGCTATGGCATCCAAGTGGCCCTAAACTCATTATGTAACCCAGCCTGCCCTGAAACTCTGGGATCTCCTCCTGTCTCAGCCTCCTGAATGCTGATATTACAGGTGTGTGCCACTATATCCGGCCTTGATGTTTTACTTTTAAAGTAGAAAATTTCCCCAAAATTAGAAAAAACAAAGCAGAAAATTTCCACAGAGCCCAGAAGAAGGAAGGATGGTATAATGAGCCCTTCTGGACCTGTGCCCCATTTTCAGCAGTTTATTCATGGCCACTCTTGTGTATACACTGCCTGTTGCAAGATTATTTTGAAGCAAATCCTAGTGGCTATATCACTTTGATTGTACATATTTCTGCATACCTTGCTAACAGATATGTGCCAAAAATTATTAACAATACCTTCACATATCCAAATAATGCTCAAGCTTTCGCAGATAACTTCTATTTTATAATTTGTTCAAATCAAATATCCACATAAGATCCAGCTACTCAGAAAGTGAGGCAGAAGGATTGCAAATTCAAAGCCCACCAAGGGCAACTTAGCAAAATCTCGTCTCCAAAAATATAAATGAAAAATATCCAGAGTCCATACATTACAACTGGTTGCCAGGTATCTTAAATCTCTTTTAAGCGAAAGGTTTCCACTCTATATCTTTTTTCTTCCTTGCATTTTTTTTTTTTTTTTTTTTTTTTTGTTAAAGAAGCCTGCTCACTGGTCCTACTGAGTTCCCAGGTTTTGCTGATTGTAGTCCGTTCGGCAATGAGCACCTTCCTTTACTCCTTCCTTGTATTTCCTCTAAGTGGTAGTTAATCCTTCACATTTGGCAAGAAACAGCACTGACTTTTTGCTTTACTGTTTGTTTTTTTAGGAAAAAATACTTTGTAGGTGGTGGTCTGCATGTCTGCTTGGGGACACAGTGGCCAGCTGTCACTTTTGGGGATGCTGGCAGAGGATGCGCTAATGCTCTTTAAGGGTGCTATCCTAATCCCCTAAAACCTTCTCTTCTGATTAGCTGCAATAATTCTATGCACTGAAGTTGAAATGCTCTGGATCTCCCCAAACGACAGTTCTCCTAAGAAAAAAAATAACAATGCCTAGATTCTTTCTCTTCATTTAACGATTTTCAAAATAATGTGTTGGTTGCCTGGCACTTTCCAGTGGTGAAAAAAGAAGTTTATTGTTTTATAATTTTATAAAATGCCACCAAAATTGCTCTCTTTCTGCTCAGGGCTGCTTTGGCTATTCTGGGTCTTTTCTGGGTCCACTTGAATTTTAGGATTGTAGTCTAGTTCTGTGAAGAGTTAGTGGGTATTTTAGTAAGTGCTGCATTGAATTGAAGGTCACTTCTGGTAAGATGGCCATTTTCATTATATGAGTTTTTCCAGTGCATGAACAAAGACTTTTCTATGTTTTAGTGTCTTCTTTACATTTCTCTCTTCAATGTTTTGTAATTTTCTTTTTTTGACATTTGCCATCTTTTTTTTTTTTTTGAAGGTAGTAAAATACAACAGAACAAGACAGAACAAAGCCAGTTGAGACAGTGTAGTGAAATCGGTACAGAACTTCACAGCAGGTTACTGGGATAACAGCAATAGGTATCACAGTATATCTCCTTATCATCACAATAGTTGTTCTTTCAATTACGTATAGCAAAATAAAATGAAGTACAGAACATTATAGAACTTATTAAAACAGAATATTGAATAGAACAATACCCCTAATCAGCAAAACAGTAGTAAAAATATTTGCCTTCAAAAAGATAGTACAAGGAAATCCCCCTTATTTGCTATATTGCATATGGTCAACCTCCCAAGAGATGCTCAGATCTCTGGTTCCCATTTGCTTGTGGGCAGGGGAAGTGGGATATTTGACTCTCAGCCCGAGCACCAGCAGGCTCACTATTGCTTAGCAGGGAGGCAGGCTGGTTACTTGGTTTCCCAGCACCCTAAGTTCCAACATGGCACGGATCTCAGGAGTTGCTGGTGGTTCTCCCCTGGAGGGGCCACAGCCTGCCACACCACAGCTGCTTACCAGGGAGGGGAGCTCAGTGTTTTGTAATTTTCATTGCAAAGGTCTTTGGTAATATCCTTGGTAATGGTTGACTCCTAGGGAGTTAATTTTTTTGAAGCTGTTTTGTTTTTTGTTTTATATATATATATATATATTTGGTCTTTTTGAGACAGGGTCTTGCTACCCAATTCAAGCTGGCCTTGAGCTCACTTTGTAGGGCAGGTTGTGCTTGAACTTGCAAGATCCTCTTGCCTCAGCCTTCCAAGTGCTGAGATTCCAGGAGTGGCTTACTTGCATACCTGGCTTACTATATGTAATTTTTATAATTTTTAGATATTCATATCTCAAATTCTAAATATATTTGATGTACCTGGCCAATAAGAGCCTTGGAATGGTCCATGGATTCCACATTATCTTTGTTAAATTCTCCTTGGCCCTTTTACAGAAATGATTTTAAGATGTATAAGGAACCGCAGAGGATCCTGGGAGCCTAAGCGATCTTGAAAAAGGATGAAGTAGAAGGACCCACACTTCATGATCTCAAAACTCTTTACACACTTCCAGGTATCAACACTGTTATTAGGACTGCCACATAGGTCAACAGAACAGGACTGAAGGTTCAGGAATAAGCCTAGACATTTATGGCTAAGGACATGCTGGGACAGCAGAATATTCATATGCAGATGAACGCCAGCGCACAACACAGACAAGGACCCAAAAGGGATCAGATCAGTTGCCTAAATTTAAAAGCTACACTCTTCTTCTAAGAGTCCTATAAGACTATCAGAAGAAAAGGCAGGAATGAAGCTTCAGGACTGTAGGCACAGAGATTTGACATCAGAAGCACACATGACGAAAGAAAAAATACACTTCACTTCATCAAAATTAAAAATTTCTTGCTTCAAATTATCCATAAAATGAAACGATGACTCACAGAATAGAAGAAAACACTTCCGGGTCCTACGTTTGATAACGCCTCCATGATCAAGAATACATAAAAAACCCCTACAACTCAACAACAAAAAGACAAGCATCCCAATTAAAAATAGGCAAAGGACTTAAAAACATCTCTCTAAAGAATGTCCAAGGGGCTAATAGGCAGATGAAAAGATGCCACGTGTCACTGGACATTACAGAGTTCCAAATGCAAGCCAGGGCACCATTTCACTTCATACCTCCGAAGATCCCCAAAATGAAAGCAGAAAAACAGGAAGCAGAAGCATTGGGAGGGTGCAGAAACACTGGAGCTCAGCAGTGTAAGCACCTGCCTTGCAAGCAGGTGGTCGCAAGTTCAATCCCCGGTACTGATAAAAAGAAAAAAAACTAAAACAAACAAACAAACAAAAAAAAGAAACCAACTCTTCAACAAGCTAAACACAGAACACCATACGATCCGGCAATTCTGTTCCTGGGTGTATACCCCCGAAACTGAGAACAAGTGCTCAGACAGAGGCATGCACGCGAGTGTTCACTGTAACATGATTCACGAGGGCCAGAAGGTAGAAATGCTGAAATGTCCCTCGCTGGTGAATGGGTCAACAGTCGTGCATATTCGTACAATGGAATATTAGTCAGCCATAACGGGAGCAGACCAAGGCACGATGCATCCTGGATGACTCTCAACAACCTTGTGCCACGTATTTTAGGACTCCATTTGTATACAATGCCCAAAATAAGGAAATTCATAGAATTGAGGAAGAGCAACTAAAAAGGACTGCTAATCAGTTCAGTGGATTTTTGGGTTTTTTAAGACAGGGTCTTGCCACAATGTAGTTTAAGCTGGCCTTGAGTTTACTATGTAGCCTTGGCTGGCCTTGAGCTCATGGCAATCCTCCTGCCTCAGCCTCCTGAGTGCTGGGATTACAGCTGTGTGCCACCATCCCCAGCTGGTTCAGGGTTTCTTTTGATGGTAATAAAATGATTCAAAAATCCATAGTGGTAATAGTTGTACAGCTTTGAGAATATTCTAAAATTCACTGAACTGTGCTCTTTCAAACAGTAAATGTTATGGTATGGGAACAAGATAATAAGAAAATATTCTAAGTAACTTCACGATGTAGTATTGACAATTTAGACTAACTGGAAAAATTGCTTGAATAATCAGAACTAACAATGTAGTCCCAAGAAGAAATAGCTAGAGTCATGGACAATTACATAATTATTGTGAATTTTATTTAATGAACAGCATATTAAAAATTGAATCCTAGCCAACAATCTTCTCAGAAAGATAACTCCAGGCTTAAGTACCTTCTCTGACAGATTCTCCCAAAAGCTTAAGGAAGAAATAATGCCCATTTTATAGAAAAGATTTCAAAAACTTGGCTGGGGATTTAGCTCAGTGGCATAAGCACCTGCCTTGCAAGTGTGTGGTTGTGCGTTCGATCCCTGGCACTGATAAAAAAAAAGAAAAAGACAAAAAAAAAAAAAAAGATTTCAAAACTAAAAATGAAGTAGAACTTCCCAAGTCCTTCTGTCCACATACTTCAAAACCTGGCACAGATTTTGCCAGGAAAGAAAACCCTGGCCAATATTTCGCACGAACAGAAGTGCAAAAGTTCTTATCATTTTAGCAAATTAACATGCAATGCTAGAACTGAGCAGGGCTTCTCTCCAAGGTGCAGCATTGATTTAAAATTCTAAAGCAACTTAACACTCACAATAATAGCAGATTTAGAAAGGAAAAGAAGTGATGATAATTCTAAAGGAAGCTTTTTTGTAGATCTATACTGACATAACCTTGAAAGCCTAATTTGGGAACACAGATAAGCCTCATTTTCCATTTCCTTGATTGCTTTCTAAATCAGAAAAATAAAAACCTGCTAAGGGTCTTAGGTAAGGTTTGCTATTTGGAATATTTATTCTTTTAATTACCTTCTGTCATGTAAGGACAGGTCCAAGAGGAATGACTCAAAAGTTGATTTATTTCTGAAAGATTACATAAGATCCAAATTCAAGCAATAAACTCTTTGTTAACGTGCTTGAGAAAATAAGCTCTAAAAGGGTGTGGCATATTTTGTTATCATGAAAATAATACCTTATCTAATTAAAATATCTCCTTAGTTTATGTATTTTTTTTTCTTTTTATCGGTGCCGAGGATCAAACTCACACCGCCTGCTTGCAAGGCAGGTGCTTATGCCGCTGAACTAAATCCCCAGCCCTGTTAGTTTATGTATTTTAAATTTCATTTTCTTTTAACGCCTTGAAGAGCTATCTCCTATCTTCTCAGTCATTTTTCACTCTTGCATGGCTCTAAACTCCTATTCTGAATATCTTTCTCCAGGTCTCTTTTAACCCCTACTTATGGCTTAGGAGCACCTTGGTGCCTCCGGATAGTAACTTAGGAAGCCACCTTGCTGGCAGATGCAGGTGTTTCAGTTTCTGTTAAAGTTGCCCTGTATCCATTAGAGCAGTTAGGGAAGAATGTGGCGGCTCACAGAGGCAGACACTAAGTGTAGCTCACTGCCCGGCTTGCATTAGTGAAGGCTGAATATTTAGCGGGAGGACACTAATACTATTTTACTTCCTACTGTCTTCTGCTAACACGCCGGCGCCCCAGGGCACATCCCCATCCTGGAATTGGGAATTAAATACAAATGGGTTCCGAGAGCAGCTCGGCCACTGTCTGGCTGTCTTATCCTGGATGTGTCATTTAAACCTGGGAAGCCTTATTTTCTCAGCCATAAAAGGAAGAAAGTATCCACCTCACAGCTGTGCTGGAGGAGCGAATGAACCACAACCCATGTGTACAGTGTTGATTGCACTCTTCTTTTTTTCTTTTTTAGGTAAATATTCGTCTTAGCCTTTATTAATGAATAAACTGGGAATTACTTAACTACCATCTATATTTCTAGTTCAGAAAAGAACTAGACAGACAAAACCTCTGCTCTAGGGTCACCCATGAGGTCAGGCACTGATTCTGAACCACCATGGCCCTTTAATTTACCTTTCAGACAGATACCGATTTCCACTGTTCATGAAGTATTTTATTATAGACACTTATGGAATCCTCAGAGTGGGTACTTGCCAGGGAAGAAAAGTCTGTTTGTGGATAAGAAACGTGCTTGGCTTTCTAAGATTATGTCAAGTACTGTTTTTTCTAACATTCTCTCCACAGTTCTGCCCCACCTGTTGGCATTCTTTGTGACACTTTGTGACAGTTTTCTGTTACTCATTACTCTTGTCCTCGCCACTCATTCCTTTTTGCCAAAGCCTGGTCATCTTTGCTTTCCTAATTTTGCTTGTTGTGATGCACTCTGGTGATTAATGTTAGCACTTCTTCAAAAGTTAGGTCTTCAATAAATGTAACTCATCAGGATTTCTGGTCAGTATTTCTTTAAGCTTTGTGGTGAACTTCAGACATTCACTGTAACAATATTCTTTCAGAATGCTATTCACAAATAGTATCTTCGAAAAGTCATTTCAGATGGGCACAGTGGCACACGCTATGGTAGGAGGATCATTGCAAGTTTGAGACCAGCCTGGGTTACAAAGTCAGCTCAATGCCAGCCTGAACTGCACAGAGAGACCCTTCCAACACGATCTCTGGGGATAATTCGCAGCTCTGAGCCATGCTTTAGAAAAACATTTCCATCGGTCTGTGCAGGATTTATTCCTATTCCATCATTGGTGATAATTGCACTTGTTGCTGCAGGAACCTTAAATTCTGCTGCAAACTTTAAGACTGCTGTGAAAGGTGTACTTTCAGGAATACTGAGTACTTTGTACGGCAGCCGCAGGTCAGACGTCAGCGTGATCTTAAAGGAAACTTTCGACATGGTGGACCGACAGACCAGGCCTGGACACATGTGACACCCCAGCTCTGCTCACCAGCCCACTTCCTGGGCAAAGAAGCGATTGTCCTTGGTTCTTCTGAGAGCAGAGGCCACGTCTCAGTGATCTTGGTGTTTCCCTGGGAGCTGGGTACCTGCTCACTTGTCTTAACTGAGTAGAATTTTGAGTTGGATGGGGCCTTCAGATTCCATCAAGAGCTGGTAGAGTGTGAGACTAGTTCAATTCGACTGAGTCCAAGGAGCCTACACTTTGTTACCATGGGGCTTGGTCAGTGTCCCCGGCTTTCCGTGGGCTTCCCCGATATTCCATGCAAGGAAATGAACAGAGCTCGGCAAAAGTCACCTCTGAGGGGAGGAACTGCAGCCTTTTCCTCTCCTAGCTAATATAAGTCTTTCAATCAAGGATAAACATTATAATTTTCAACTGGGCATGGTGGCGCATGCCTGTGATCCCAGCACTTGGGAGGCTGAGGCAGGAGGATTGTTGTGAGTTTGAGACCAGCCTGGGCTGCAAAGTGAGCTCAAGACTAGCCTGAACTGCATAGCGAGACCCCGTCTCAAACAGAAGCAAGCGTGCGCCCTGCAGTCACGTCTAGGAATGGTAATGCGAGCTAATTGCTCAATGAAGAAAACGGTGTCTCTGGAGGAAACTGGCCCAGTGCCTTTTCTGAACATGGAGCCTCAGGAGAGTAGCTTGGCAAACACAGGGACCCTGGGTCTCCCCCTGGGAATTAATCAGACAAGTGGCTGGGAAGAGCTGTGCATTGGCTCAGCAAGGAGAGGGGAGACATAGGCCGAGACCCCGTGGCCCTCTGGGTTCAAAGATGAGTCTGGCTGTGGTCTCACATCTGCCTAGCTGCTGGTTGGGGCTGGCAGAGGGCTTCAGAGAAGGGGAAAGCAGTCTTGAAAAGGAGGGTTACTGACCTGAAAGGCATCATCTCAATGAACAGCTTGCTGTTTTCTGTGGCCATGTTTATCTTGTTTGCCAGTGCAGCGAAGCCAAGAATCTGCAGGGGGAAGACGCAAGATTATTTAAACACCGTGCATATAGGCAGAAACACTCAGCCTCCGGTGGGGCAGGAGTCGAGAGGCCCAGGCAGCCGTCTCTGCACCCAGCTGAGGCTGAGGCGCGGCCAGGGCAGTGGGCAGCGAAGGCAGGGGCTCCTCCAGACCCTCCTGGCTCTCTGGTGGCGCAGCCAAAGCATCATCACCCGTGGTCTCTGACACAGTGATGGGAACACAAATAGGGCCATGGGCCTCTTCCTCCCCACCAACTTTAGTGTTAGATCAAATGAACAGGTTTCCGGGTCACGCCTTTATCTGGGTTGCGTTTTTATCGCTCTTTGGATCTAGGTGCGACACACCACATAGAAGAGCCTTTTAAGGCACGGTTGGGGTCCATTGAGTGAAGATCATGTGATTTTTTTTTTAAAGCCAGTCAAATTTAGCAGTGGGGAGGGTGGTATAGGATCATGTGATTAATCCTAAATAATTTGGTGAGGCATTTGGAAGCACGAGGATAAAAGGTCTTTAGTGAAGCAATTAATTTTCTGGGATTTTTTCCCCTCCCTTTCATTTAATTCTGAAAATGATTATTCTCTCTTCAGTCCCAACTTTTAACTAGAGGGAAAATAGACAAGCTGGAAGTGGATACACCTCGTGATGATCTTGCATCAGAGCAAATTAAACCAGAGACAGACAGACCTTAATACCCTGGTTGTAGCTGGGCGTGGTGGTGCATGCCTGTGATCCCAGCACTCAGAGGCTGAGGCAGGAGAATCCCAAGTTTCAGGCTAACACAGTAAGTTCAAGACCAACCTGAACTACAGAATAAGATCCTGTCACCTCCAAAACAAAACAAGAGAACCCTCCAGGTTCTAAAGTGGTACTTACACAGCTGTTTACCCCCTTACTCCTCACACACAGTCTTTTCCCAGCAGTGACCCCAAGAGCCCTGAAAGATGCAGACAGGGCAGCAGAGGTTCGGCTGTGCTCTGGGATCAGACGAGGGCTCCCGGGGACACCTCCAGATCCAAATGGAAGGAACTCTGGGTCGCAGCTCAGGTTAGTGAGGAAGAACCTTCATTTTTACGTGGTCAGTGGCGAGAAGTAGGGCGAATGGCGGGGAGCTCTTATTTCTGGTATCACGGTAATGCGTGCTCACAAAGGCAGGTAAGGCAAATACAAAAAGCTGAACGGCAGAAATACATCTTCCAAAGCCAACTAACTACTCTTTCACTCTTCCTCTCTTTACGTCTATTTCATGCTTGCTCCATCACTGAAGTGCACGTGCGAACCGTGAACACACCATCACTGGGCACGGCCAGGGGCCTGGAGCTGTCGGTACAGCTCGCCTGGATCCCAGATCTGACCCGAGGTCTCCCCTAGGTGTCTCAGACTGCCGTCCTTCGGCCAGCTTGGTCGGGGGGAGAATTTTCTCCGGCGCATCCAGGCTGTGGCTGGATGACTGGGGGAAGCTTTTGATTTCCGTGCTGCCCAGGAGACAGGAAAGTCTTCCTGTTCCCAGCTGATCTTGGTCCCTGCTATGTGGCACACGGAGTGTCCCTGTCCCCTGATATAACAGGGGTGTAAGTCGCATGCTGTGGACTTTCCTAACCGGCTAAGACGAAAAACGTTGGGTGTGGAAAGCTGATAAACTAAGACCCCCATTTTATCACAGGGCCTCGGTGTTCCCTGCCAGTCACCCCCTGGTATCTCATAATTATTACCACATCCTCCCAGAGAACATCTCAGCTGTGGCTCTCAAACCCCTCTGTCACCCGTTGTCACCCACAGCTTCCTCTACACGCTTATTTTCTCCTTTCTTTGATGACCCCGGTTAACACCCTTTGCCTTTGAGGAGGCTTCAAGGGACACCATCTTGATGCTTGCCATGGCTCCCTGAAGGGACATATGCTGTGGGTGTCACAGAGGCTGTTGAGCAGTGACGCCATGATGCAGCTGGGCTGGGTCCCCTAAAAAGGAGAGGTTGCCCCTCCTCACCATTCATCTCCCCCCAGTTCCCACTCCAGGGCACCACTGCTTCACCCTGGTTGTGAAAAGCCCATTGTGTTAGTGTGAGACAATGTTCGCATAAAATAATGTTGTGAGGGCCGGGGGTTTAGCTCAGAACTGCGTCTGCCTGGCAAGCACAAGGTCCTGAGTTCGATTCCTGGTACCAAAAGAAAAAAGAAGAGGAGGAAGAAGCAAAAAGCATAATTGTATGGGGACTCACTCCTATTTGCCTTTGCTTTGATTAAATCATAATCTTTACAAAGGAACACACGGGCCACATGGAGTGATTCTCACGTATACCCATTAAGATCCCTGAGCACATGAATAAAACCCTGGGTTCAGTCTCCAAAACCATACACACAAACCAAAAGACCTCGAGGCTTACAATGAAAGTGCCTCTCATAAGCCAGGTGTGGTGGCACAGGTCTCCCAGCACTCGGGAGGCTGAGGCAGGAGCATCGTTAAGAGTTTAACACCAGCCTGGGCTACAAAGTGAGCTCAAGGCCATCCTGAACTGCATAGAGAGATCCTGTCTCAAAAAGACAATTAAAAAAAAGTCAAAATATTAATTATGACTGCAAGAGATAAAGTAAAAAAATTATTTTTGGTACCCAGGAATCAAACTCATGACCTCACATTTGCCAGGAAGGCGCTATGCCACTAAGCTACATCCCCAGCCCACCAGAGGCAAATTTAATCAGGAGACTTCAGGGAAGAATGAAGCAGTGCTCTAAGGAGGCAGCAGGAAGCTCTAGCTCTGCTACTTGGTGCGCAATAAATGAGACAAATTAACATCTGTCTGTCATTGTCCTCACTGCTGCTCAGGAAAACAAAAGGAGCCTAAGTAACATGATGGTTGCAGCAATATTCAAATACAAGCAAAACTTCCCCCTAGAAAAGGGGGCTGCTTACCACCTCTGAGCAAGTCCGTCATTTCAGAAAAATAGAGCAAAATACAAAAGTATCAATCGTGTGGACTTGGGGTGACAGAACTACAGGAGTGCGTCTCCTTTTCTCCCCTGCCTCTCTGTTCTGTGAATTAAACCTGGGAATTAAACCTTTGTCTATTTTGAGGCAGTGTCTTGCTAACCACTAAGTTGCCCAGGCTGGGCTCAAACTTGCTGTCCTCCTGCTCAGCCGCCCAGGGTGCTGGGATCACAGGTGTGTGCCACTGTACCTGGCTCCCCTTCATTTCAAAACTTCTTTTAAGTTTTTCAGACTTTCTAGAATGAGCTTTCATAGGGTGGAAAAATTTCAGTTTTTTTAAAATCTATTTTATTTTAAAGACAAAAAATAAAACAAAATTTCAAAACATAGTAATTAGGGGGTAACAATGGTATATACACTGCATACTGTGTATATATAAATACATAAACATATATGTACACATATATGTGTGTATACATACACATATACATATATAGTTTCTATCAGCTTCTCACAATATGATGTTTATACATGTGTGTCTAATTTCACTTATGAGTATGATCTCAAATTGCATCCATCTATAAAAGTCTCCAGTTTATCCTTCTCTATGGTCAAATAGATCTCTATTATATAAAAATACCACAGTCTGGTGGGGGGCCGGGGATCAAACTCATGACCTTGTGCTTGCTGGACAGATGCTTGTGCCACAGAGCCAAATCCTAGTTATCACCACACCCTTTTTACCCATTCCTTAGTTGATGGGCTTTTAGGCTGTTCCCAATGTCTGGCTATCACAAACTGTGCTGCTATAAACATGCGTGCACATACATTGCTGTGGTTCGACATTGTTCAATTCTTCTGGGAAGATACCCAGAAGGGGATAGCTAGGTCAGTGGGCCCTCCTCCCATCCTAGCTTTTTCAGGACCCTCCACACTGATTTCCTGAGTGGACACACCAGTCTACGCTCCCACCAACAGTGGAGAAGGGCTCTTTTCCTCCACAGCCCCTGCAGCATTTGTTATTGCTTGATTACTTGATAATAGCCATTCCAGGGCGAGGTGGAATCTCAGAGCTGTTTGACTTTGCATCTCTTGAATGACCAGTGATGTTGGACATTTTTTCACATACTTCTTTGTTGGTTGTATTTCTTCACCTGAGAAGTGTGTATTTATCTCAGATGCTTATTTTTGATTGGTTCTTTAAATCTAGGAAGACTGTTTTTGAGTTCTTTATATGTGAAAACCCCCAATTTTTAAAGTATTACAAGAAAGAGGTAATACAGTTATTTTGAAAATAAGCATTATTTTGGGTGACCTATTGTATAGTATGATGACTATAGATAATAGTAAGTATTATGTACTTGAAAATTGCTAAAATAGTAGGTCTTAAATGTTCTCACAATAAAAAATAAGTGTGTGAGGTGATAAATATCTTATTAGCTATGTTCAAACATTTCACAATGTATATACATATCAAAATATCACACTGTAGATCATATGTAAATTTTTGTCAACTATATGGGAAGGACTCTTTAAAGAAAACAAGCATTTTACAAATACTAGCATACTTTTTTTTTCTGTATAAGGGATTGAATTCAAGGCTATCCCCCCAAACTTTTTTATTTTTAATTTTCAGCCAGGGTCTTGCTAAGTTGCTAAATTTCCTAGGGTGGGTTCAAACTTTAAATCCTCTTGCCTTAGCCTCCCACAGTGTTGGAATTACAGGCATGTGCCACTGTACCCAGCTAGCATACACTTAAAACTAGTGAATATTCAGCTTTCACGCAATCCAATGCATGTTTTTGAAAAATTCTTATTTTTACAGCTCCTGGGAACCTTTGCTTGTTTTTATTTCAGTTTACTAAATAGGTATTTAAAATGATCTCAGCCGGCCAGGCATGGTGACACACACCTATGATCCCAGCCCTCAGGAGGCTGAGGCAGGAGGACTGCCACGAGTTCGAGACCGGTCTGCGTTACGTAAATAGTTCAAGGCCAGTCTGAGCTATGTAGTGAGACTTTGTCTTAAAAATAAAATTCCAAGCCATGAAGTCGGGGCCTCAGAAACACCTACCAGAATTAATTCCATGGGAAATTCGATGGGATAATGATTGAAAGACATTCGGAGACACTTGCTGATTCTCAGCGCAACAGCGGCAGTTAGAAAAAGTAGGATGCTGGTGGAGTTGGCTTTCGGAAGAGCCACACAGTAGTTAATGATGTTCTGAAAGGAAGCAGAATGACAGGCTCGCCAAGGGTAGAACCGTTGCCCAGCCTAGAGAAGGACGCTCCCCGGGGCTTCCTGGGCCCAAGGTTCCTGTTGGTGGTGGTGTTTTTGTTTGTTTGTCCATGGTACTGGGGATTGAACCCAGGCTTTTGCTCTTGAGGTGTGAGCCAGATCTAAATTTGGCGAATGTTTTAAATTCTTGGGCTGGGGATTTAGCTCAGCAGCATAAGCACCTGCCTTGCAAGTGTGTGGTTGTGAGTACGATCCCCGGTACTGATAAAAAAGAAAAAGACAAAAAAAAATTCTTAAAAGGCACATTGGCCTTAGTCCCCCTCAAACAGTCCCCCTCACTTTGAGCCTCCTCACAGGGAGCCAGGTCGGAAGGCCGAGGTGGCCAAGAGCGCACCGCAGGGCTCTTACCAGCCTGCCTCAGGGCAGTGGCTTTCACCGCATTTCTTAAAATCACACCTCATAAGGACCCCGAATTGGGGCGCGTGTGAAGCAAGGGGGAAGGCTATGAGGGGCTACTGGTCACCTATCTTTTACTGCAATACATTTTAAAAAGTGTCACCACTCAACATATATTCTGATCACCCCTTGTATATCCCCTTTTTTATTTTTCATTTTGAGACAGGGTCTCACTAAGTCTCCAAGTTGCCTGGGCTCAAAGTTTTGATCTTCCTGCCTCAGCCTCCCAAAGTGCTAGGGTTACAAGCATGTACCCCCATGTTTGGTTGGCACCAAGATTCTTTTTTTTTTTTTTTAAGAGTGTCACATTACTACAGCAGTGGGGAGGGGGTGGTGATAGGCATTTTTTCTTATATTGGAAAAGAGACATTAAATGATTTTTTTTTTTTTTTGTCTTTTTCCTTTTTATCAGTACCGGGGATCGAACTCACAACTGCCTGCTTGCAAGGCAGGCACTTATGCTGCTGAGCTAAATCCCCAGCTGGAAAAGAGACATTAAAAGAGTAATGGCCAATAAAGGGAAAATAGCTGGATGTGGTACTCCATGCCTCTAATCCTAGCACTCGGGAAGCTGAGGCAGGAGGATTGCCATGAGATTGAGGCCAGCCTGAGACACATGGTGAGTTCAAGGCTGGCCTGAGCTACACAGCAAAACCCTGTCTCAAAAAATCAAAGAGAGAGAGAGAGAGAGAGAGAGAGAGAGAGAGAGAGAGAGAGAGAGAGACAGTGACAGAGAGACAGAATACTTTCCATGTTTCAGCTATTCACTATTAATTTTCCCAGAATACATATATTCTTTAGTTGAACTTATTTCATTCTTGCATTTGGGGACCAGTTAGAGTTCTTTATTCTTTGAATGTTTCAGGATACATATTTCTTAGGAGGTGTGTAATAAGCAGCCTGTCTCTTTTTTTTTTTTTTGGTGCCGGGGATCGAACTGATGACCTCACACTTACCAGGCAGGCGCTTAAGCCACTGAGCTAAATCCCCAGCCCCAAGCAGCCTGTCTCTTACAGAGACAGTAACTTCAGGATTACATTTTAATATAAACCATTAAATGTTGGCTTAAGAGCTAGGCTGGGATGGTTACCGCAAAGGCCAGCAGGAGGGGCTGGCTTAAACCTACCAGAGATGAAACTGTTTCCAGGGCTCCCGACTCAGCCACCCACCTGCTGTGTGTTTGATCCGGAGTGGGTGGGGGCTCCCCCTGGGGTCCACCACGCCTCAGAGGGCAGGTGGGGGCTTTGTACCTCCGGGAAGGGCGCAAAGTTACTCACGGAGAAGAAGGCAATAGGACCGGCATGGAAAGCGATCATCACCCCGAAGACACAAGGCAGCTGGGACAGTATGATGTGCAGAGCCGCTGCGGCCAGGTAGGCGCTGACCACGGCCTCCGGAAGGTACATGGCCATGAAGCCGATGCCCAGCACGCCCATGGAGAGCTGCGGGAGGCAGGGCGGGCCGGACGGGGCAGGTGTCATCAGAGAGCCAAAGAGGTCCAGCCTCCCCGGGGACCCCGTGGGTCCTCCATAGTGCTCCCTATTTTCCTGTCACCCCAACACACCCTTCCTCCATCCTCCTGCCCCGTTCTGTCCTTAACCACGACTCTGCTCCCCACTTCTACCATCCCGTCCCTTCCAGAATGTCACACACGCCGGCGAAATCTCCCATGTCCAGTTTCACTAACGGGTACTTGCTTCCATGGTGAACTTTTTTTTTTTTTTTTTTTTTTTTTTGGTATTGTACTTTCATTTATCTGTAACCTTTTTTGTTTGTTTTGTTTGCCCTTTTGCAGTCCTGGGATTGAATCCAGGACCCTTTACCACTGAGCTTTACCCTCAGCCCTTTCTACTGTTTTACTGCAGGCCAGGGTCGTCACCAAGTTGTCCAGACTGGCCTCACACTGGTTGGTCCTCCTGCCTCAGCCTCCCGAGTAGCTGGGACCACAGGCATGTGCCCCATGTCGGGTTTATGTGTCAAGTTTTTCAGTGTGTTTATTGCTCTAACGTTTTAGCCACTGCCCAAGAAATTACACTGCATGTGTATCATAGACACAGTTCACTAGTACTGACAGACTGCCAGCTAAAGGTTACCTCCCCTCCATATGTGAGAGCTGTTTAACATTTTCTCAGATACTGTTATAATTTTGCTTCAGCTGTCACACATAATTTTGCAAGCTCAATAGGAGAGGGCAAATCTATCGTATTTACCCGTACTTTTAAACTCTCTCTCCGTTGTTCTCTTTTCCTTTCTGAGGTTGACACTCCTTTCGTATCATTTCTTTTCTGTGTTTTTTTTTTTTTTTTAATCAGTACCAGGGATCGAACTCACGACCGCGCGCTTGCAAGGCAGGTGCTTATGCTGCTGAGCTAAGTCCCCAGCCCCTCATTTCTTTTCTGTTACAAGAGCTTCCCTCAACCATTCTTTGAGAGGTGTGCTGGTGAAAAACTATCTTCGAGTTTCTTCGTCTCAGCGTGGTGTCTTCATTTGCCCCTTTACTCCTGAAAGGTATTTTCACGGGATATGGAATTTGGTATTGGCAATTTGTTTTTGTTTTGGTCTGGAGACCGGATCTCACTATGTGGCACAGGCTGGCCTTAAACTTGAGGTGATCCTCCTGCCTCACCTTCCTGAGCGCTGGAATCACAGGTGTGGACCGCGACACCCAGAAGATTGATTGATACTTCTTACCTTTTGGCGCCTTAGAAATATTGTGTGGTGGGGGGGAGAACTATTGTGCCACTTCCCTCTGAACTCCCATGTGGGTAAAATATTATTTCTCTTGCCATTTTCTAGAGTCTTCTTGCTACTATCTTTAGTTTTCAGAAGTTGGCTATGACGTGTCTCAGTGTGGATATCTATGGGTTTTCTCACTGAGATTTTCTCAGCCTCTTCAACTGTAGGCTCCTATCTACAAATTTGGGGAGTTGGCCGCTATCGTTTCTTTAGGTCTTTCAAGTCTATCTCCTTTCCCTTCCTTTATTTGTTTGTTGACTTGGGGTCTCGTTACGTTGTCCAGACTACACTTGAACTCCTGGGCTCAAGAGACTCTCCTGCTTCAGCCTCCCAAGTAGCTGGGACCACAGGCATGTACACCGAGCCCAGCCTTTACAAATATGCTTTCTGGGAAAATACTAAATTCATTTCTCTGCACCCACTGATCATAACTTATGGGTGCTCAGTATGAGACAGGTTCCAGGCCTAGTCATTTATACACTTCATCTTGTTTTATCCTTACAAGAACAAATATTTTTCCTACTTTACTCCTGGAGAAACTGAGGCTCACAGAGGTAAAACAATTTAGGAAGTTCGTACCACTCATAAGCCCCTGGGCTGACGCCTGAGCACCATGACAGCCTGCCCTGAGGGCTCCCAGTAGATCCTTGCCTCCTGGAGACTTGTCACTGAACACCACGGAACAGCCACCACGGGCAGTGCGGGTCGGTGGAGGAGGAAGAGAAATGAGGATGAAGAAGTGACTTCCGCTCAGTGGGGAAGCCTTCGGGGTACAGACTCTCAGAGGAAACTAAAAACACTGCCCAAACAAGCTTCAGGGGCTTTGGTTTTGTTCTTGCAGCAGGGGGATGAACTCAGAACCTTTGCACTGAGTTACATCCACAACCCTTTGGTTTTATTTTATTTTTCTGTTCTAGAATAGAAAACTTTTGGCACCGGGGATCGAACTCACGGCCTCACACCTGCAAGGCAGGTGCTGTGCCACTGAGCTATATCCCTACCCCCTTTTAATTTTTTTTTTGTCTTGGGAGAATCTCACTAAGTTACCCTGGCTGGGCTCAAATTTGTGACCCTCCTGCCTCAGCCTCTTAGAGTTCTGGCACAACAGGCGTGTATCCCTACACCCAGCTATGCTGAGATTTTTAATGTCATTCATATTATTATCCCTGAACTGTGTCCCTTGTCACTGTAGGAAAAGGGAGCACAGCCTGACCGTAACATTCACTAACTGCAAATTACACCTTGCACACCCAGGAATGCTGTTCTTGTTCAAAGAACATAAATTATTTTGAAAAGGATACACGGTCAGGAGTGGAGCTCTAGACCCTGAGGACGCAGCTGCTCGAAGGACCCACAAGTGCTCTGAAGACAGGGACCCCAGGAGCGGTCGGGGAAGGGCCCCTAGCTGCAGTTCTCTGGCAGGGGTCACAAGGTCCTACCTGAATCATCCCTGTCAGAAACGTGGTGGCCGCCACCACGCTTAAAGACTCATTGTACTTCTCAATGTAGAAAGGGGCGGTGAAGTCGGTTGGGACGAAGGTCCCCAGGATCAAGTGGCCGTCGTTGAAGGGCTGATGCTTTAGCACGTTGATCATCAGGGCGCTCATGAGGAAGAAGGGGCCTGCGGAGAGGGCGGTAGGCATGGGGTCAGGGCTCGCGTCCCTGCAAACCGGCAGGTCTGGTACCGTCTGGGCTCCGACCCAAGGACGCGCTTCCGAGGGGCCACCAAGAGCAAGCATGAGCAGTGAGCGGAACTCAGGGTGACAAACACCCAGCAGCGGGGTCTCTAGGGGTCAAAGAGAAATGGGCTGAAGATAACCACAAGCCTCTGCTGCTGCGGCTGCCCCTAGAGAGAGTAAGATGGTCGCCAAAGGACCTAAGCCAAGGCTATAGTAACAGGAAGAGCACTCCTGTAACCCCAGCACTTCAGCAGGCTGAGGCAGGAGGATGGCAGGTAGAAGCCCAGCCTGTGCCATTTAGCGACTTAAGACGATCCTGTCTCAAAACAAAAAATACAACAGGACTGACACATAGCTCAGCGTGAAGGCCCTGACTTCAGGGTGCTCTCCAGTTCCAAAAAAAGAAAGAAAAGAAAAGAAGAAGAAAACATTTCTCAAGAATTTACTGTATGCAAGGTGACACCGAGTCAAACCTGTCACACACAGTATTTCATGTAATTTTCACACTGGTGGAAGGGGAAGCACAGATCTTACCTTTAAAGTTACTATCGGTCTGGGGATGTAGCTCAGAGGCATAAGCGCCTTCCTGGCAAGCACAAGATCCCGAGTTCGATTCCTGATACCCAAACCAAACCAAACCAAAACAAAAAAAATATGATGATACCTATCAGCAACAAAAGCTTGACAGCCTTATTATTGGTATCTGGAAATGATGGCGACGTGTCCAGGAACTTGGAAATATGGCGGTAAAAGTGTTCTCTCCACCTCCAGATGTAAAAATCTGGATGTGACAGATTTGAGTGACATATGCAGTGTCATTTTATTTATTCATTCGTTTATTTTGTGGTTCTAGGGATTGAACCTAGGACCTTCACACTGAGCTATATTCTCAGCCCTTTTTAAATTTTTGAGACAGGGTCTCACTAACTTGTTAAATTGTGCAGATTGAGCTTAAAGTTTTGATCCTCCTGCCTCAGCCTCCCAGAGTACTGGGATTAAAGTAGGCAGACACCCTCACACCCAGCTCAATATTATCCTTGGGTGGGTAGGGGGGTCGGGTGGGCACCAGGGCCAGGAGGGGAATCAAACTCATGACCTCGAACTTGCCAGAAAGGTACTGTGCCATTGAGCTATGTCCCCGGCCCTTAATATTACCCATTAAAAAGGCAGAGTAATGAACGCTTCTCTGCTGGGAGGCTAGGGTTGCCACCACACAGGACACACAAACACCGGGAGGAAGGGCACTGGAGGTTGCTTGAGGCCAGGGGCCTCCCCCAGGTAGAGTGTTGCCAACGCCCCTGCAAGCCCCTGGGGCACTGTGCGATTTGATCTCCATGCAGGTCCCCTGGGTTAAGTAAATGTACCGACTGCGTGACCTTCACCTATTCCGTGCCCCTGGTGGTTATTTCTAATTATCAATGAGTGTGTGGACTTTTGACTGGGGAGGGGAAGTGCCATCCTGTGTACCCGAGCGCCCTGATCCTTGTTCAGTGACTACCTGGTTAATGACCCTTTGGACTGATGAGCCGCTGCTTGGACCTGGGACCTATCCTCTTTTTTTCTGTACATGTTGTTGCTGGAGACTGAGTGTCTTTCTTTGTATGGTACTGTGTTTAGCAGGTACTGTGATTTTTGTTGGTTGTACTGGACAGTCCAGTACCACATTTCTACGTTCTGTTATATGGGACAGTACTGCCTGGCAGAGCTGTGCAAATAAAAGCAAAGGCATCCTGGCAAGTGTCCTTGGACCACATCTTTGTCCTGCACACTGGAAAGTCCACGCTCTATTCAATTCCTCCTTCAGCGAGAAAAAAAAAAATTTTGCCTTTTTGAGGCAGGGTCTCTGTGCAGTTCAGGCTGGCCTTGAGCTCACTTTGTAGCCCAGGCTGCTCTCGAACTGCAATGATCATCCTGCCTCAGCCTCCTGCGTGCTGGGATTACAGGTGTGAGCCACCACACCTGGCTGTAAGACAAAATAATTTAAGGACCCAGTTGCAGTATCTGAACGTGGTTATTAAAGGAGGAGAGCCTGTTATTACGCCTGGCATTTCCTCATTGCAAACTAATAAGCTGACAAGCTGTAAGGCAACTCAGCCCCGTGGACCTGGTTATATGTCCAGGCGAAAGGTCATCTGCTCTAGCAGCATTGGCCAAATCAGTGCTGGTTTGCTGGGCTGAGGGCAGGCAGGTTGTGGTGAGTGGCAATTTCACCAAGGAAACGACCTTCGCCCTTCAATCCCTCTGGGAAGCATCTCTCTGGCCTGTTTTCCTAGTGGTGACACCAATAATGACACACCAGGAGAGGTATTTTTTTCCCTACAATCTGAACATTATTCATATGGACAGAACGTCCAACTTCTGCCATCTTTCTTTTTTGTGTTTTAGTGCCGGGGATCAAAACTCACGACTTCTTGCTTGCCAGGCAGGTGCTTATGCCGCTAAGCTACATCCCCAGCTGCCACCTTTCTTGAATTCAGCTTGAAATCCGGTTTCTTAACACTAAGTGAATCATTGAGGTAGAAGCTTCATCTGCTTCCTGTGGTTCCTGTACTGCACTCACCAATGGACATTTGATGACATGATCCAAAAATGACATATACTATGGATGAGCAGAAAGCCGAAAAAGCGACGTTCAGAGGAGGAACCAGTTGCCTTGTCAGCAAACTAAGTGCCAGACCTGAAAAGCAAGATAATTCAAGTAAGACCAGTACCTTGGCTTTTAAAAGTCACGCTAAATAAAAACTGTAAAGAATGTTAGACTATTGGGAGGCTGAGGCAGGAGGAAGGCTGCGAATTCGAGACCAGCCTGAACTACATAGTGAAACCCTGTGTCAAAAAACCAAACCAAAACAAACGAAAAAAGGTTAGAATAAGAATGGCCAGACATGGTGGTACATGCCTATAATCACAACTACTTAGAAAGCTGAGGCAGGAAGATATTGAGTTCGAGGCCATTTTGGGTAACTTAGTGAGAACCTGTCACAAACACACACACACACACACACACACACACACACACACACACACACAGAACCCAGTTCGTGTGCAAGGCTGACCGCGGATGAAGTGATAATAGTATCTGTCATGGCTTGTGTCTAGATGGCCGCTGAAAGCCTTATGCAGCCATAGCTGGGGCTTTTCCAGAGGCGGCTGGATCTAGAGTGTGTAAATGAGTCATGGAGCAGTGCTGGGGTTAAGGGTGGGTGACTACTAAGCTGGTCCACTGACTCGTTTGGCACTGTCCTAATCCCAGGAGCCTACATATAAAAGGGGCAGAAAGATACAAAAGGCGCCTTGTTGCCCACTGTTGGGGACCATTAAAATCACAATGACTCATTTTGCATTCTTCAAAAAGGGTTAAAGGAGGTTTGGGATTATCGGTGCCACTCATGTGCGATTCCTCGTGAACTCTTCATGGATATGGATGGGCCATCCTCTCCCTCCGAGATTAAACTAAGACCACTAAGATTAAAACACAAGATCCTCCTTAGTATAAGATCATCTCCGGCTGCCCGTCATCCTGAGATTGTCCTGGTGCCCGAGTCACTGACCTGGAGGGTTCCGCCAGCCCCGCCTACCACTGCATGCACCCAATACAGGGCTGCCTGGCTGCCTGGCTGCCGGCTCGGAGGGTCTGTCTCTGCCCGTCCTGGGGCATGGACCTCCCAGCCCCTCTTTGAACATTACTAAATTTGTCTCTGTTTCCTATCACATCCCTTCACCATTCCCTCACACAGGCAGCTGGGGAGCTTGGCCAGGTCCCCGGAGCCCAGTACGAATGCTTCCCCTCTGTACTGTCCTGGAGGCCAAAATCGATGAATTGAAAGCTCTGCAAACCGTGAGCCAAATAACCCTTCTCTCCTTTAACTTTGGGTGTCAGGTGTTTTGTCTCAACAAGAAAAATAACCAAGAATTCTTTCACCAAAAGCCTTTAATTCATAACTTTTACCATTTCTGACTCTGACCTCTCGCTTTTATGTGTCAGGGTTTTTCATTTTATTGTGCATTTGTTTGGTTTGGGTACTGAGGACTGAACTCAGATCTTCCTTACCAGCTACATCCCTAGCCCTTTTCTCTGAGACAGGGTCTCTCTACATTGTTAAATCACCCAGGCTGCCAGGAATCTGGGTGTGATTCAGTTCTGTATCACAGGCTGAAATACCTTTCACTTCAAGGTCTCAGTTCTGAACATGGAAAGCAAAGACCACTGTGATGAGGTCCCGAATCCAGCATCTCCCAGCCCTGGGGGAAGGCCTAGGCCCAGGGCTGAAGACAGAACTGCCCAGCACTGGGAGGCCGGGATGATACACACTGCGTCCCGCCCGCTGACAGTGGCTTCCCTCTCCCCTGCCTGGCCACCTAACACTCTCTCTCTTCAAACGCAGGCGTGCTGCTTGCCACGCAGGCGCTGTGCTGCTGAGCTGTATTCCCAGCAACACTCACTCTCTTTGCTCAAAAGCACCATACAAATTTGGAATCTTTTAAGCAAATGCATTAACATCCATAGAGTTATGTTTTGGGTGACTGTAAGTCCACACCTCCTACCTTGAGGGTTTTTCTTCAATTTATACCAAACCGTATTTATAGCTATTTATCTATCTTCATCAAATTTATTTTTAAGTCCATCCAGTGAGCTGGCTTATTACCTTACATCAGAAAGGCATTTTTCAAATGGAAATTTCAAACGCTTGCAAAAATAGTTTGCACAGCTTATGTGGTGTATTAACTGATGATCAACTCGTAACACCCAGCTGAACTGAGTCATCGTGGTGCTGGGTGTGGAAGGCCCACCTGAGGATTGTTGCCAGCAGCATAAAGGGAGAGCTGGAGGGGAAGCTGGTGTGCTGTCGATTTGGCCTAGAGAAGCTTGTCGAGCTGGTTTTCCTTTTTTTTTTTTTTTGTCTTTTTCCTTTTTATCGGTACCAGGGATCGAACTCACGACTGCCTGCTTGCAAGGCAGGCGCTTATGCCGCTGAGCTAAACCCCCAACCCCAGTTTTCTTCTTCTTACCATCAGAGGAGCTCGGGATCTTGCTGTTACTGAGGGTGGCTGTGTTTCTTTTCAGGGGAGCTCGGGTCCTTACCTTGAGCATCACTTCCTGGCTCCAGTGCAGGTCCCTCAGCCTGCTGGCAGGCCCTTCACCCTGCTGGTGCAGACGGTCTAGCTTCCACCACTGACCTTTGGCTTTCCCAGTGCAGATCCTTGAGGGAGGCTTGCATGAGTCACTGTCGTGGGTTCTAGGCCTCCAGCTGGACTCATAAAGGACACTGCCATGGGATCCAGGTCCTCAGCTAGATTCTCTGGGTCTCTAGTGTGTGGACACATCTCCTGCACTCCTTTGTATTTAACTTTTTGGGTGAATATGATTAAGTAATCTTATAAATTATATGTCCTATACTAAATCTATTCCCCTGTAAACCCTGACTACAACAGTGAAGTCCGGTGGAACCATGGTTTCCTTCAACAGTGCTGACCCATGGCCAGTCTTGTTTAATCCATGCAACTCCTCTCCCACTTTATCTTATTCTGAATTGATTCCAAGATATTAAATAATTTCACTTTGGGATAGTTCAGTATTTGTTTCACCTGTAGACATTTCTCTAAAAGGTGACTCTTAATTTGCCTGCAGCACCCTGATTAGCCACTCAATTTTTCAAGACCCCTGATTATCTCAAATGATGGTTATGGTATTTTTTGTTTGGTTGGTTTTTTGGGGGTAACAGGAATCAAACTCAGGACCTCATGCTTGCCAGGTAAGTGCCATACCAGTGAACTAAATCCTTGGCCCATGGTTATGGTAGACTGGCAGTCTCTCACCTTTTTTGGCACCAAGAACTGTTTTGTGGGAGACGATTTTTCCATGGATCAGGGAGGCAGGGAATTATTATTTTTTAAATTACTATATGTTTGCAATACATAGAAATTTCCCAATGCTAGCATCACAGTCTCAGCTCTACCTCTGCTCATCAGGCATTAGCCTCTCTCATAAGGGTCATGCAACCTAGATCTCTCACATGATGGACTGCAGTAAGGTTTGTGCTCCTGTGAGAATCTTATGCCACTGCTGATCTGGCAGGAGCCAGAGTTTGGGCAATAATGTAAGAAATGGGTAGGTAAAAGCCTATTGATTGGTGCCATCCACACAGAGGGTGGGGCTTCCATTATATATTTCTACTCCCAGAACTATGATGGATCAATTTAAGTTATCACACACCTTTGACCTCAGCATCACACACTCATAATCCAGCCACCTCTCAGGAGCCCCACCTATGAGCACATGAGGTTTTTGAGGGACATCTAGATACAATCCATGACAGCTGCAAAAACAAACTAAGGGGTAGATACCGAGAAGGGGATGACTGGAATTTCTAATTTTAGATTTTTGAGAAATCTTCATACTGGTTTCCATCATGGTTCTACTAGTTTACATTCTAACCAACAGTGTAGGAGGGTTCCTTTTTCTCCACAGTCTCACCGACATTTTTAAAAATTTCTTGATGATTACCATTCTTTATGGAGTCAGATTGAATCTTAGCACTGTTTTAATTCACATAGTTTAAACACCACACCACAGTGACACATGTGTATACCAATGTTAATGACAGCACAATTCATGATAGCTAAATTGTAGAAGCTGTATACCCATCAGCAGACAACTAGATAATGAAAATGTGGTATCTGTATATAATGGAATACTACTCAGCTATAAAAAAAGGAAAAATAAGAGTCATTCACTGGAGAGAGGATGCACCTGGAAAATATAACACTGAGTAAAATACATCAGACACACAAGCTTAAATACTATGCGGTGTCACTTATTTGAGTAAGGCAAATCACAAAGAGATTAATAAAGGATGGGTAGCAGGGGACAAGGGGGTAGATATCTTGCAAGTGGGAAAGGATCCAAGAGGCCAAGAGCGAGGGCTGAGGGGGAGAGGAAATAAATAAGTAAAGATACACCATGAAAGGAGCTCGGTAATCTCAGTGAACACAAACGTAGATGCCGTGAGTGTGAGCTAAGATTAACAATAGCAACAGGAATGAGGCCAGGGAAATTAGAGGAGGCAGGGAAGGGAAAGGGATTTTAAAAAGAAACAAGCTGTATTATGCACCTGTGCCTGCTCCCGAGATGACTGTAAGCCGGATACTGCAAACACATACTAAGAAACCCCCCAGCTTCCATCCTGGTTGTGCTTTGGATCCCGGCTGCCAGGGTTGGCTTCAAGGTGCTGGCTTAGGAGGTCACACAGCAGCCTGGGTTCAGAAGGCCTCACATCTGGCTTAGTGCTTTGCCTTCACGGTATGGAAATTCTGAGCAAGCACTGGATGAGTAGTCCTGCATTTGCATTTCTTTCTTTCTTTCTCTCTTTCTTTTGTTTCTCCTTTGGTCTTTTGACACAGAATCTCCCTATGCAGTTCAGGCTAGCCTTGACCTCACTTTGCAGCCCAAGCTGCGGTCTAACCGATAGTGATCCTCCTGCCTCAGCCTCCCGAGTGCTGGTATTACAGGTGTGTGCCACCATGCTCGGCTTGCATTTGCATTTTGTATTGGAGCCTACACGAGTAGCCAGTCCCACCAGTGCCCCTGTGGGAAGGCTCTCAGCAGCCCCAGGGAGGCTCACATGGGGAGGAGCCCAGGGCTGTCAGCACACAGGACAGAGCCTGAAATAGGCTGAGTGCAGTCTGTAACAGCCATGGGAGTCAGTTTGGAAACATCCTCTAGCCTCGGCAGGACCCTGTGATGCCCACAGCTGGACAGGGACCTCTGGGGAGACCTGGAATCTGACGTATGGTGCATTCGTCTCTAGGGAATTATGATACACTGTGCTCTGTTTTACGATCTCTCAGTTTAAATCAGGATCTGGAACTCAGTCCTCACTTGGGTTGATTCCCCTCTTTGGTTTTTTACAATCTACAGGTTCACTCAAAAGTTTTGTTGTTATTGTTATTGTTATTGTTGTTGGTAAGCAAGTTTCTACTGATTGGGGCTGGGCATGGTGGCGCATGCCTGTAATCTCAGCCCTGAGAAGGCTGAGGCAGGAGGCTCACTGCAAGTTCCAGGCCAGCATAGGCTACAAAGTGAGTTCCAGGCCGGCCTGAACTGCATGATGAGACCCTGTCTCCAGAAAAAAAAATTTTCTACTGATTGCAAGAAACAGAAAACATGCTCAACTTAGCATAAGCAAAATAGGAAATGTATTAAAAGAGTCCAAAGGACAGTTGAACCTCATTAGAGTCTTGCAGCAGAAGGAAAAAGGCCTCTTGATCTAGCATGGCTATTTCCCCGTTCTCTTCACACCCTGGCTTTGTTCCCAATAGTGTGAACAATACTGTCACGGATATTTTTGTACACGTCTCCCAGTGTACACACGTACAAGTTCCTCAAGATTATAACTTCTTCAGGTTTCTTAATTATAACTTCTGGAGCATTTTGCTAATGCCAAACTGTTTTTCCAAATGTCTGTACAATTTAAGTCCCAACCAGCAATGTAGGACGGTCATTTCCATTGTTCATATTTGTGCCTCAAATATCAGATTTTTTTTTGTTTTTTTCTTTTTTATTGGTACCGGGGATTGAACTCACGACTGCCTGCTTGCGAGGCAGGCGCGTATGCCGCTGAGCTAAATCCCCAGCCCCCAGATTTTGTTTTTAATGGTATGGGGAATTGAGCTCATGACCTTGTACTTGCCAGGCAGGCACTGTGCCACTGAGCTACATCCCTGGCCCTATGATGATGTCAGATTTTTAACTGTAATGCGTATGATAGGGACTCATTTTAAGTTCTCCATTAATTACTAGTAATGTTGAACATCTTTTCTCATTGGTTCTCTATGGACTTTTAAGAGTACATATGTAGAATCCTCTGATATTGTGAGTAATGCATATATATCAAGTATCTTCACTCTCTCTCTCTCTCTTTATCTCTCTCTCTCTCTCTCTCTCTCTCTCTCTCTCTCTGTCTCTTTCTCTCTCTCCCCAGTACTAGGGATCAAACACAGGACTTTGCACACGTTAGGCAAGTGCTGTCTTCCCAAGCTATTGCCTGAGCCCTTTTGATCTTTACAGCAGTTCTGAATAGGCAGACAGTCTTAAATTTTACCTAGTTCAATTTATCAGTCTTTCCTTTTGTTTTTTGTGTTTTGTTTAAGAACCTCAAGATCACAAAGACACGCTCCTATTTTACTACAAATTCTTCACTGTTTGTCATTCACATTTAGGTCTTTAATCTACCAACCTCATTCTTATTTTTGTGCACAGTAGCTGTCTAAAACATTTGCCTTATTTATATCCAATTGTTTCACATTGTTGATCATTAAAAAGTCTGTCTCTGTAGTGACATATCTGATACAAATTATATGATTCATACCAATGTGTCACTCTCTTTTCTGTTTCATTGTCCTAATTGTCTCTCTCCGCAACACTACGCTGTCCTAATTACTTTTTGAGTAATTTGTTTAGTAATAGTTGTAGTAATTAATTTAATCATCCTCCTCTCAGTCGTGACACGTAACACATCTATGGAAAATAGATTCAAATAGTTGTGCTCAGCAATCAAAAGGAATAAACTATTGATACATACAGCTTGCATGAATATCAAAAACAAAACAACGGCTGGGCGTGGCGGTACACACCTGTAAACCCAGCACTCTCAGAGGCGGAGGCAAGAGGATCACTGCAAGTTCGAGGCTGGTCTGGACTACATGGTGAGTGCAAGACCAGCCTGAACTGCATAGTGAGACTGTGTCTCCATGGGAAAAAAACAAAAAACAAAGAAGTGACACTGAGTGAGGGAAGCCAGCCTTCCAGAGTTGTACACTGTATGAATCTATTTGTATGACATTCTCAAAGAGACAGAACCACAGTACTGGAGACCAAGGCAGTGGCACCAGGAGTGGCAGGTCTGGGCGGGCGTGGCTATGCAGTGAGAGCACAAGCGAGATCTGGGGGGGGTGTGTGGTGGTGCTTTCACAAATACATGCATGAGTTAAAGTTCCTGCAACTATACATCAAAAGAAGAAGCTACAATGTATTGTATAATTTATAAACAGGTAAATACTCCGTTCTGTTTCCCCGTTAACATCCCTGAGCCAGAGGTGTAATCGCTAGCTTCACTCCTGCAGGTGGGCCCAGGAGACCTGAGAAACGGAGGGGTCTAGGACTACATGGGTGTGTAGCTCAGTGGCAACGTGTTTCCTTAGTACGCACAAGGCCCTGGATTTAACCAGTATACCACACACACACAGACACACACACACTAATAAAGTCCATTCTCTTTGTAGACAAATTTGGTTTCAGGTTAACTTTCTCCTGTTTCCCTGGAGACCTGGTAACAGTAGACTGTCAGCTGCTCTACCAGGAAGAATTGCTTACGGTAAAAATGATCCCGGTTAGTACTCTCCATCTGGACCCACAGGGCTGGGAAGGAAACACAAAATACCCAGCAGGGAGCCTGAGCACTGGCCTTCTTTGAGCAGTCTCTCGGGAGCTGGTTCGTCCTTGGGCTCTGGAAGCAGCATGCGGGGCACTGTCCCCTTGGGGAAATGAGGATTCCAAAATCCAGATAACTCCCACTCCTATCCATGTGGCCTCGTTGTCTTACATCTGAGCTGCCGAGTGGAAGTCAGGAGAAAGGCCCCTGGGCTGTCACCTGCTAGAGAAATACCAGCATCCTGTTTCCTACCGTGTGCCTTTCTAAGAAAAAAAACCACTGCCACGTGACATCCACTGCAGCCAGGGGCAGGAAAGGCTGATGAACCAAAAGCTGACCCAGAGGAGGTGCCAGGACTTTTCTGCAAAGCAGTCCAGGCTCTAACTCAAACCTAGCCTTTGGATACATCTCAGAAGGGTTAGACACCTGCCAGTCCAGGGGACAAATATGGTAATGACATGACTGAAATTCACATGTTCTTCTGCCTATTCAGCAGGAGGAATTGTTTGCAAGCGCAAGTGGAGAAGATCTGCCCGACTGTCTTTGCTCGGGAAGGCTTTGCACCTTTCTTACCTTGAGGAATTTGCACGAAGCCAACACTTAGGCCAGCAAGTAAATCTCCAAGTAGCCAATCCTTCCATCGGTAGAAACACACCCATTTCAGGAAGGGGAAGATCGTAATCATGCATCTGAGGAACTTGTGCCACGTGCAGCTGAGAGAAAGGAAAGCAGAGACTGGATTAGGTTCCCCAGAGAGGGCCCACTCAGCCAAGACAGGCAGGGGACACTCCTTGTGCCCATGCAGCAGACTTCTCACGGGCACGCTGACAGTCTGACCCTGGACAGCACTGCGCACTGTGGAGCTAACAGCAGTGCTGGCCTCTGTCCTCCCGGTGTTGTGTTCCCTGCTCCCCCGGCTGGGGCCATCACGAGCATCTGTGTGCACTGTGTGCACGGCAGCTCAGATGTAACACAACAAGGCCACAAAACCAGCACTGAGTATGGTAAGAACTAAAACCCGGTGTACACTGACTTTCTGTCTTTACTGGACATTTGGACAGAATTAAGCCTAATGTGGCCAGGCTCCAGCTCAGTGGTATGAATGCTTGCCTTATGAATCCTAAGCACAGGGTCCTGAGTTAGATTTCTACTACCATAAAAAAAATTAAGCCTACTAATTTCTAGCAGAAAATGAGTTGCTGTTGCTTTCTTTTGACAAGGATTGTTTTTGGGGGAGTATGATAATGATGGCGGGGTGACAGCACATTCACACCATTCCCATACAGTACAATTTTCACCAGATAGTAACTGTGTGGCTTTGACTTGTGGCACAGAGAAGTTTATAGAAAACATGGACTATGGCGCCTTTGATAACACAAAGGCATAAGGAGTGATGTAGAGGAAATATGCATATGTAATTTATATATGTAATTTTAATAATAATTATATCATAAATATACCTACAATTACTGTATATATTATATATAATTTTTAAAGGTTTTTAATCCAGTACATCTCAATTAGGAGCAGTCTAGTTCTCATGATTGGCAGGAACACTCTAAATATCCTAAAATGGACAAGACAACTTTCTACAAAAAAGGATTTTGCAGTCCAAAATGTCAGTGTTAAAAGCAGGGGTGTACCAGCTGCACAGGAAGTGGAGGCAGGAGGATCATTTGAGCCCATGTTTTCAGCCTGGGCAGCACAGCAAAACCTGTCTCAAAACGACGAAACAAAACAGAAGAAAACAAGTCAATGTTGTTGAGGCTGAATAAACCCACTTTAACCTCTAGATTGCCTAAAATAGCAGAATCACCCACAATCGATCAGCAAAGCCTATTTGGTTTGCAATTGCCTTTTGCTGTTTACATTTCGGTGTGGGCTAAAAGCAGAGAACATGAAGACTTTTTCCCCCACTCATGAGCAGTGTTAGATCATCGGGATTTTACTGTTATGACAAATAAAGCTTTTGTGTATGCAGTGCTAAAATCTGTGCTCGGGAAAGAAGGACGTGTTTGACTCTCACGACTAAAAGCATCATGATCGCGAAGGTCCTCAAGGCCACATACCAGTGACTTCACCCAGGTCGGAGCACTGAGTGTGAGCACCGCAAGGACAGAAGCCAGGGCTCCCGGTGCCCAGCGTGGCTACCTCCTCCTGGTTTCTGGATTCGGCCGGCGCTGTTCAGCTCTGCCCAGCAGCCGGAGCGAGGATGCTGGTTTGGAAGGAACGTGGCATTGCTGTTTCCATGAGAGGCGCTGGGCTGGAGGCAGCGCACAGGAGACGGGAGTAGACAGAATGAGTCTGGTGCACCTGCCTCAGACTCGGAGTGCTGCACTGCGTTTGCTCTCTTTCTCAGGGCTCCCTGCGTACCGTGTGCCAGCTGGCTGACACCCAGCATCCTAGGCAGAGAACTCGGGGTTCTCTGGCTTGGTGAAAAATAAGTGGATGTGTGTGGGGGGGACCGAGGGGCTGGAGGAGGGAGCTAGAGGAAGGGAAAGTGAAGCTGTGGGGGGAATGGGCCGAGCGTTTTGACGTGAACTTGGATTTTGGTTAAGGCGTCTTTGGAATGAGGATGTAAGCGTTGATGCAAAGGCATGGAGATTTTAACCAAAAAGGGAATATCTGCAGTTGCTAAAAGGAAGAAAATGAGGAAGGAGATGGGTTTTTACAGAAAGGAAGAGATGGAGTTAAACGATTATTTAATTTACTAAGAAAGCCACCTCTGCTTATCTAGGATGGATCTGGGGACTTCACAAGCATTTATTTTTTAAATCCTTGCAATCAGGAGGTGTTATTATCAAATCCACTTCACAGCTGAGGAAGGGAGGCCCAGCAGGGTAGGAGAGCTCAAGTAAGTCGCGCAGCTGGAAAGCAGCAGAAATAGAATTCAAAACTAAGCCGCCCGAGGCTGCGGGGGTAGCCTTAGTGGAAGGACACTTGCCTAGCAGGTGAGGCCTGGGTCCAATCCCTAGAACCACGGACAAGCCAACCAACAAACGACCACGCAGCCTGGATTCAGAGTTGTGCTTGTTTTAAACTACCTCTCTGGTTAAAATTCAGAAATGGAGGTCACTGTGTTTTTGAAGTAGGGAATATAAAAAAAAAAAAGAAATGCAAAGAATACAGATTTTATTTTTATTTGTGTGTGTGTGTGTTTCTCCAAAAACAAGAGGAAATAAGAACAGCTACCAAAACCCCTAGGAGGCAGCATTGAGTCAAGTAATAAGACGGGCGGGCAGAGTCCAGGTAAGAAGGCGGGGCGGGCCAGGGCAGATGGAAGGAGTCCTGGTGACAGTCTTAGTAATCCTGGTTTGTGGTGAGGGTGTAGCTGGGAAAACATTCTCATTCTGTGGAAACAAAGTGAAAGGGTCATATCCCCTTTCTCACTGGGGGCAGGAGACATCGGACTGCAGACAGAACTGGGTGACACTCAAGACCACAGCTTGCAAAAGGCAGGAGTGGACAAAGGAGAAGGCCTCGGGGGGCCAAGTGTCCTCCCCGCAGTTACCAGAGCGTCACCCAGGACACCTTGAGCAGTTAGGTTAGTGTCTGGATCTGGGTCCCAAAGAACTTTTTTTTTGAGGCAGTATCTCACTATGCTGTTAGGCTGGCCTTGAACCCACTCTGTAGCTCAGGCTGGCCTCGAATTTGCAGTGATCCTCCTGCCTCAGCCTCTCATGTACTGGGATTACAGACATGCACCACCACAACCAGCTACAGAGGACTTTTTAATCTGAGGTTTAGGGCATGTGTATAAAATTTGGGGGTTGGGGCTGGGGATTTAGCTCAGCGGCATAAGCACCTGCCTTGCAAGCAGGCAGTCGTGAGTTCGATCCCTGGTACCAATAAAAAGGAAAAAGACAAAAACAAAAAATAATTGGGGGGTATTTGTGAACTTAGGAACACATCTTTATTTTCATTAACTTCCAAATAAAATTTGAGCATTTCCTTCAACTATGAATCTCGACAATAAGTAACAGCAGAGTGAGAACTTGACTTCGTTGCCAATAAAAGTCAAAAATATCTTATTATTTAATTAAATTAATTAATTTTTGGACAGGATTTTGCTATGTGGTTCAGGCTGGCCTTGAATGCACAGGGATCCTCCTGCCTCAATCTCCTGAATGCCACGATCAAAAATATTTTCATATTACAATTGCTACAGATATCTTGAAATAGAATGTATATCATCACTACTTTGAGACTACGGTAATTACCACGTTATTAAAATATTTTTGTACTTTGAAAACTGTATTTTAACATAACTGTTTGAGATAAGGTCTTGCTATACAGTTCAGGCTGGTGTTGAATTCACTGTGTAGCCCAGGCTGGCCTCAAACTCACAGCAATCCTCCTGCCTCAGCCTTTTGAGTACTGGGATTATAGACATACACCATCATGCCTCGCTAGTTTTCTTTGTAATACTATTTATTTTATGCATTAAATTTTTCTAACCACGCTCTTCAATGGGAATAGTCTCTTCAAAAAATTGTGCTAGGAAAATAGAATATCTACATTCAAAAACATGAAGTTGAAGCCTTACTTTATACTGTAAGCAGAAAATTCAAACAGAATCAAAGGTCCAAATTTAATAGTTAAAACTATAAAATTCTTACAAACACAAGAAAATACATGATCTTGAATTTTGACAATAGTTTTTAACTAGAACACCAAAAGTCCAGGCAATACAAAAAAAGTTAAATTAGATTTTATCCAATTAAAAATGGGCATTGAAGGACACGATTAACAGAGTGAAAAAGACAACCTACAGAATGAACAAAAGTAGTTATAAATGATAGCCAGAATATTTAAAGAGCTCCTACAACTCAACAATAAAAAAACAATCTTTAAAAGACAAAAGAAATGAAAAAATGTTTCTTCAAAAAAGATATGAGTGACCAAAAAGCACAAGAAAAGTCATCCATTATCCTTAGTCATTAGAAAAATACAAACTAAAACAAAACAAAAACCACAACAAAGTACCACTTCATACTGACTAAGACGTCTACAACCAGAAAAAGTTAGGAAAAAGAGAAACTTTGGAGAGGATGAGGAGAAGCTGGAATCCTTGTACATTCCTGGTGGGAATGTAAAATGGTACTGCTAGGGTGGAAAAGGCTGCCAGCTTTAAAAATTCAAAGCAGAGTTACCAATGACTTGGCAATTCTAGGAACTGAAAACAGATTGGATGCATTGGCCCACACCTAGAATCCCAGCACTCTGGGAGGCTGAGGCAGGAGGATGCTAAGTTTGAGCCCAGCCTAGGCAACTTAATGCCTTAGCACAAACTTGTCTCAAAATTTTTTTTAAATTCTGGGGGGCCTGGGATTTAGCTCAGTGGCCTACGTGCCTGTCTGCCAAGCTACAAGGTTGTTGAGTTCGATCCCCAGTACCAATCAATCAATAAAAATATGTTGAGGAGGTAGTGTGGAGGTCCTGGGGCAGGGGGAAACTTGAAGAGGGGACTCAAACATTATACAGCCCAAGAGCAACTTGGGCTTGCAGCGCTGGTCTCTGCGAACACATCTATCCATGTTCAGCCCCCAAATACCTGTGCGCAAAACTGGGAATACGGTAGCTGGCGGGATTTCATACGGAGTGCCTAAAGTTACTGTGCTTTGGAGAAAAAAAAGAAAATTGAAAACGGATTCAAACAGATCCCCACAACATTCCTAGCGGGATTCGCAACAGCCAGAAGATATAAACAAACTAAGTGTCCAACAGCAAAGGGACAGAAAAACGCGTACATAATGCAATGGAGTTTCATTCAGCAGCAGACAGAAATGAGGCACGGCCCTGCTAGGACGCAGAGAAGGCTCGGGGACATTACACTCAGGGAAATAAGCCACACCCCAAAAGACTAATACTGTAGGATCCCACTTCACTCAGTATCCAGAGATGGCAGACACAGAGAGATAGAATACCTGAGAGGTGACAGGGTGAGGCTGGGGCAAGGCAAGGAGCGCCCTTGCCTAACAGTGCAGAGTTTCTGTTTGAATGGGTGAAGACGGTTTGCAAATAAACAGCTACACGAGGGGCCTTTGCTTTATCAGAGACACGCGTTGACCGCCCCTGGTTCACAGGACTTTGTGGGTCATGGGAAAAGCAGCGGTGGTGGCAGTGGGGTCAGCAAGAACGACCACAAGCACACTGTGTGGGCAGTGCCCATGTGCAGCGAGAAGGATCTCACTGCCACCATGAATTAGGCCAGATGGCTGCTCTAGACGATGCGAGGAGACCAGTAATGGGGTTCACTGAACAATGTTTTTATTAACCACCACCCCTAGATACGGTGTGGGGACCCAAGGTCTTTCCACCCGCCGTGGTGTGGATGTGTTGCCCCCACGCCAAGGTTCACGTGCTGGTAGCTTGGTACCCAGAATGCTGGTGCTAGGAGCTGATGAATGCTCTTAGGGGCCAGGCCCAGCGGGAGGTAAGGAGGCTTTGGGAGCAGCACCCTCCTGGAGAGAGTTCCAGCTCTCGGGGGACTACATTAGTACTGTGAGAAAACACTGCCATAAAATGAGTGTGTCCCATGCCCTGGCTTCTTCCTGTTCCTCTCCCACCTTCCCACCAAGCTGTGATGTAGCCAGGAGCCCCTTGCCAGGACAGAAGCACCATGCCTTTACACTCGCCAGCCACCAAGACTGTGAGCTCCCTATTTTCTTTATAAGCTACTCAGCCTTGGGTATTTCATTATAGCAACAGAAAATGGGCTAAGAATATACCCCAAAAATTGATAATCAAGAAAGTGCTGTAAGACACACTTAAAAACAACTGAAGAAGAATTACACCATAAGCTTTAGAGGTCTGATGATAGGAATTCAAAAAAAAGGAAGACGGAAGCTGGCAGCAGACGAGGTGGGATACGTTCTGGTCCTGCCTGGCTTGGTGGCAGCTGAATGGCTGGACTCACGTACTTGCAGAGGACCTGGTGTCTGCGGGAGCTGACATTTTCGGCCAGGGTCCCCGAGGAGAGGAACTTGCTTCTGTGTTCCTGTTGGAAAGTCTCTTCGTTGTACACATCTCTCTTAATCTTATACAGGAAGGAACTGGGCCTGTGTTTAGAGGTGGAACTCTGGTAGCTTTTCTCTGGGTGTATCATTCCTGCACGAGCAGAAAGAAATCAAATTTTTAAAAGCAACTTAAAAAAAAAATCGAGATCCTCAGCACAATTTTAAGGAAACAGAAGTTTCCACACAGGGGTGTTTTGCCCTTGCAGGGCAGTTATGCAGAACTCTTTCTCAATGTGGTGCAAGTTTATATTCAAAGGCACCCTAGGGTGAATGCAGGGAGCAGGCTACTCTCATTTTCCAAGTGGAGGAAACAAAACTCAGAGGTTGAAACAGTGTGGGCTGTTTAGTAATGGTTAAAATCAGGACTAGAACCTGCAGTCCTGCTGGGAAGCCCGATTTCCTTTATATCTGACAGTGCTGTTGGAAAGTGATTTAGAAGTCAAAGTCAGTATTGATCAGCAGGTTTCACTGAAACTGCTAAGATGCTTAGCCAGGCATGGTGGCTCACGCCTGTGATCCCAGCACTCAGGAGGCTGAGGCAGAATGATCATTGCAGTTCGAGAGCAGCCTGGGCTACAAAGTGAGCTCAAGGCCAGCCTGAGCTACATAGTGAGACCCTGTCTCAAAAAGACAAAAAAAAAAAAAAAGAAAAAAAAAAGAAACTGTTAAGGTGCTCAAGCCACCAAGGCAGCGGCCTCCGACCCCTTGCATATCTGAAATAACATCCGTCGTGCTTTTACTCTGTACTTCTCTGCACAGTGCTTGCCGGCGCTGGACTGGCCTCTGTCTGCTTCTTCCTCTAAAGGAAGAGAAGCAGAAGGGCTTCGAGGGCTCACAGGGACATCCCCGGGGCCCAGGACGCTACGCTATATGCAGCAGGCCCTCAATGGACGGCTCACAAAAACAACCTCCAAGCGTCAAAACAGTGACATCATTGGAGCGTATGATGTCCAAGGGTCACTTTAAACCTTAAAAATCTGTATTGTTTTGCTCTTTCGAGAGAATGAGAAGATAGGAGTTCATGAAAATAGTTGGGGATCCATCTCTGGCATAAGTATCACTACTATGCATCTCTGTTTTTGATTAATAAAAAGGTATCAAGTCTATAACTGCTCCATGCAGATGAGAAGGATATGCATCTCATAAGGCTATAAAATATCTAAAATATTTGTTTATCTAATAAAAGTATATTTAAACATTCAAATCCCGTAGATCTCACAAAAATTTTTTTATGGGCAAGACTGCAAAAAAATTTTAATGTGTCAGAAACTTTGGTTTCCTTAGGAGGGACTATGTAGGTAGGATCATCGTCATCATCACCAACATCTGTTACACATTTAGAATATTCAAAGCATTACACTCTTTTTCATGAGTTACTCCCTTAAACTCCCAGAGTAATCCGAGTACTAACCCCACTGTCTTACAAGCAGTAACACTGAGGTATTTTTTAGAAAAATCTTTGGGTCACAGTTATCCCATATATTTCCCCTCGGGACTGTGGGCAGCAATACTGCTTTGGATCCATGAGCTGAAGATTACAAATTCAGTAAAACACTGCCACGGTGTTGCAGGGACCCAGAGGAGCCGGGGAGAGGTATGTTCCCCTGCAGTAAAATCTTGGATTATGAGTGACTTGTTCTATGAGTGTTTCACAAGGTGAGCAAACATTCCTAGTAAATTTTAATTTGGTTTAAATGAGCAATGTCTTGCAATAGTGGTGCAGGACGCCAAAGTCACAGGCATTCTCTCCGTCTTCCTCCCTCCTCCTGCTCTGCGACCTTGTGGGTGGTCCTCTCCCGACAGCAAGAGGTGACAGAGGAGATCTTGTCTGCAGAGCAGGAGACTAAAAAGGCAGAGGAATCCCTCACTTCCAATGAGACTAGGGAGATGTGTAAATGTGGGAAATGGTGCAAAATTTTGTAGCTAAGCACCGCCTGAGGAAGGCTGCAGCAGTGTGATTAGTGAATATGTTTAATGACATGCAATGTCACATTTCTTTTTTTTTTTTTTAATTTAAGAGGAAAAAGAGAAAAACACAAAACAAAACAAAGTGGTGTAAGGGTACACGTAATACAGAACTACAAAAAAAAAACATAATAGTAAGAAATCACCTGCTAATAGATTACATATTATCATCTTGGAAATAGTTGCTCAAATCACAGTATCAAAGAATACAAAGTGAACATTCAAACAGAGAGACTGCAAACAGCTGTGTTCAATGATCCAAAAACATTAATATAGTCAGCTATTTAACACCCCTAAACACAATTGCTGTTATATCCATAGAGCTCTTTTTTTTTTCTTCTCTGTTTTACAACAAAATTTACACATTTTGGATTTTATTACTCCTAGTCCTTATTACTTTTTTGGGGGGAAGAGAATATAGTCAAATATGGAAAACAAAGCTGCCACTCAAAACCAAGGATAGACATAGCACATGATGTAGAACAGAGTACAAGGCTATCAACAATGGTTATCAAAATTGTCTCTTGTTTCCTTAAAAAGAATAGTCTATCTCATTAGATATTATAAAGTTGGACAAAACAGTAGAGAACAAGACCAATAAAACTTAGGCATTGTAAACATTACAGGACTTCCAAATGAGACAACAGTCAAACCAGAATGGGCATCTTAGTGAATCTTATTGCCTTCAAAGTAGGTGCTTATACCCTCAAACTTGATACTATCATATAGAATGGAACAGAGTCTAATCAGTCAAAACAAGATCGTGGGAGTATTACAGGACTTCAAAACAAGTTAACAGTAAATCAAAAAGTTACTATAATATATGCTAATTAAAAAAATTTTTCCCCTTAATTAAAAAACATAAGAAATAACTAAATAATTTTTTTAAAGAATAAGGGAGAGATTTAGATAAGCTCCAACATGGCGTGGATCTCAGGAGACACTGCTAGGTCTCCCCCTGGAAGGGCTGCAGGCTGCCACCCTGCCTCCACTCACAGGGAGGGGAGATGCTGGCTTGGCTTCCCAGAGTCCTAAGTTCCAGTATGGCGTGTCACATTTCCTCAGAAGCCTCCACAGGAGGCAAAAGCAGGTGTCGTTGGATAGACTCCTTGTTAAGGTTATGGGAAAAGAAAAAGATTTCCCTGAGCCTCACATCTTTGATAAAGAGGCAGAACTATGTTTAAAATGTAAATAGTATTTTTCTTCCTTCTCCCCACTGGACTATTGAGCCAATTTTGCTTCTCTTCTCTATGTAATCTTACAAATAAACGTGCACCACTAAGGTATATTTATTCCCGGGAACCTAACTAACTTGGTAATCACGAGGAGACTGTCAAATTTCTACCCTAGGTGAAACGGAGGGGCTGACCCAGCACTGTGTTCTGAGAGCAGCGCTAAGGCGGTGGGCTGTGAAACAGCCACATGAACACCCAGGGCTGCGGGCACAGCGGCAAATGGCAAGGGCCATGGCACTTAGTTTAGGTCCAGCAACTGTTGCCCAGTGTGGCCAAACTGTTCCCTCTTCCCCCTCCCCCGGAGAAGTCATAATTCTATGGAATTATGTGGAACCTTCTGACTTTTAATTGTTGATTAAATTTTTCTTTTACTTTTTTTTTTTTTTTTTGAGACGGGGTCTCGCCATGCAGCTCAGGCTGGCCTTGAGCTCACTCTGTGGCCCAGGCTGGTCTAGAACTCCAGTGATCCTCCTGCCTCAGCCTCCCGAGTGCTCGTATTATAGGCCTATGCCACTGCACTGCCACACCCAGCTGATATCATACTTTTAAAAACATAGTATACGTCTGACAGAATACATCTCCAACCAGTGCACGACCTCTGTATCAAGATACTTAAGTCAAAAACATAAAGCTATCCTCACCTCTTCCCATCACAAACTATAAGTTTATCTCCCTAGAATTTATATAATTTGGTCTTATTTATTTACTTACTTATTTTTGAGACACGGGGGGCCAAACCTACAGCCTCTGCACTGAGCTACATCCCCAGCCATTTTTACTTTTTTAATTTTGAGACAGAGTCTTGATAAATAGCTAAATTACCCAGGTTGGGCTCAAACTTGTCCTTTTCCTGCTTCAGCCTCCCAGAGTATGAGGATTGTAGACCTGAGCCACCAAGCCTGCCTGCCTTTTGAAGCGGATGCACTTGTATTTCTGTTATTGTATACTTTGGTGAAATTATATCCTATTAGTTTAGGAAGGACTGTCTTATTTATAGGAAGGACTGTCTTATTTTACTTTATTGTCTTCCATTTATTTACATCATTTGTATTTTGAGAGGTGGCTCCCATCTACTAGAGGATTTGGTGAGTTTGTCTGCTTTTTGTTTTCACGGTTTTGTAAATTTCTATCATATTCCCTTGTGTCCTTCATTTATTTCAGATTGAAGAATGCTGCTTTAACCTTGGCCAAAAAACAGTGTTGCACAAAATCGAATGCTAGATGCTTTAGGGAGACAAAACAGCAAAATCCCTACAATTCAGTACAATAAAAATACCAAAATACATTGCTGTAAGTGGTGGAAAAGACAGGAGTTAACATGTATTGCTGGCCGCCCTGTATACCCTTTTTCCACAGGCGATATGCTAGTTTCCTGATGGTTATTCTCTCTCTTTAAAAAAAAAAAAAAAGGAGTTTAATAAATTCTTCAGTCACACAACAATTAAACAGAGCCAGAATTTTTTCTTTTTTCAGAGCCAGAATTTGAGCCCAATCTTTCTGATTCCAAAACAAGCCACACCCTCATACCACCGACACCTGCAACGCAGGTCCACTAACCTGGGCTTGCAGACATGGGATAGGCCTCTTGGGATAAATACGGTTTGCGCTCCATCTCCATGGATGACAGGGAAGAGGGGCTTGCATTTCAGAGAGAGGACAGAATGAAATTAGAGATCAGATAAGGAAAGTCATCCAACAATTCTGAGTAAAATCTATGTTAAGCTCAAAGAAAGTAGTTTGAAACCCGTTTCTGGAACGTTTTTATTGTGGATTGAGCTGGCTTGAATGCTGGGCCTTGGTTAGTTGAGCAGGCAGAGTATCATTCATGGAAATGTGCTTAAGGAGACGAACTGGGTTGGTGACGTGGTCTAGAGCAGTGCTGTCCAGCATGTGAACCAAGCCACAGGCCACATGTGGCAATTTGAATTTGACTTAATTAAAATCAAATGTCCTGTTCCTTAGTCTTGCCAGCTGCATTTCAAGTGCTCAAAAGTCACATGTGGCCAGTGGTTTCCCCTGGATAATGCAGATTTAAAACATTTCCATTATTACAGTAAGCTCTATTAGGCCCAAAAGGCCCACCCAGGACCACTGGTACTACATTAGTCTAGGGGAGAGGTTATCAAGTGATGGATACCTGGGGCCACAGTGAGGATGGGTTGGAGGGGCCCAAGGAAAGGGGTTTTGAAGGCTGCATCAAATGCTAGCTAAAGCACCAAAGGCAAAGCCACGCTTTTCTTATTTGTCTTATTGGGAATTTCGACGGCACCATATGCCTTCCTTGATTTCTTAGCAACTTGTTCTGCTCAGTTATTGGGACCCTTCCAGATATGATGTAAGGACCCAAAGTAGTCCTCACCTATACTGAAACTCTGAGAGTGGCCCAGCGAAGTAGAGGATGAGGACGCCAGAAAACTAAGCAGATTAGCTTTAGTTGCCTTTTAGTGCTAAGATAAGGATGCTGTTAAAATACAGATACTTTGGGCTTAACTACTACCCTTACCCGTCCATCCACCATCTATTCTTTCATCCATTCACTTACAGAATCTGTGTCCAGCGCATTTTACATGCAAATAAATAAAAACTCCAACTTCTTGGCTATGACCCCAATAGATGTGAGAGCTTGAAAATTACTTCAATTCCAAGAATATTTTTCCCCTTGCATTGTCATTTTTTTTTTTTTTTTTTTTTTTTTTTTTTTTTTGATGCCAGGGATTGAACTCATGACCTCACACTTGCCAGGCAGGTGCTTAAGCCATTGAGCTAAACCCCCAGCCCCACATTGTCATCTTTCATATGCTATGGGGAAGCAAAGTTCACTTCCAAAATTTTAACATAAGCACTTGCAATTCCATTGGAAAACACCCTTTTTTACCTGTTACTGTCCAGGTTTGTTTTTCAATGGCCAGTGCACTGGGAATTTAGAAAAAGCATAAGCAGAAAAAAGAAAAAGAACAAGCAAAGAGCATTAGCATTAGTATCTTTCAAGTTACTGCATCTAGAGGTCGGGAAGAATTTTGTGACAGTTTTTAAGCCACCAACATTGGACGACTTCCCTTAACATAAGGTAGTATGTGCATGATAACAAGCAGGTGTGTCGGAGAGATATTCCTTAGTGGGATGCAGAGTTGCAGAAAGCTTTCTAGAGGCACCCGGGGCATAAAGAGGGTTTGATCGGAAGAGGAAGGCGCAAGGCGTGGGGAATGGGGAGTTCAGTCAGAGGGAACAAAATGAACCACAGCTCTGCTGGCCCAGGTGTGGGGAGGGCATGAATCGGTTATTGCCGTGAGATTCAGGGGCCTCTAACAACAAAAACCAGTGAATTTGTTTTGTTTTCTTTCTTTCTTTCTTTCTTTTTTTTTTTTTTTTGGTCTTTTTCGTTGAATTTTGAAAGGATTTAGCTTGCGGCAGGGTCTCTAGTCACTGCCATTCCACATGGCCTTTCAAAGTAGAGAAGCTCCCAGGCACGACCATCATTCATATTCATTGCACAAATACTGACGGAGTGCCTGGATCTGCGGGTGACAGACCCGCCCCCTCTCCCTGGGACCCACCTCGGCCTGGCCGCTGTCAGTCTGTAGCTTGGACTCCAGGGCGGGCGTCCCCAGAAGCGGCTCACCTGGTTCCCTGGCGAGGGCGGGAGTGCGGGCGCTGGGGTCTCACACTGCTCGGGCCTGGCCGGAGGCGCTGCGGCGGTTCCCGAGCCGTTGCCGCCGAATCCCGGGCGTTCCGGGAGGGCGGGACAAAGGTGCGGGCGAGGTTTAGACCTAGTTTGGACCTGGTTTGGACCTAGTTACTTCCAGAAGAATATGATAGGGTCCAATTCCTCTGCTCATTGTGACACGCTTAGCACAGGAGGATAACGGTGGGTGTCTTTACGGACTTTACAATATCTCTCTCCTCTACGTTTATTATCTAACACTGCACTTACCAAGAACACTAAGAGGTGTGAATGCAGAGAAGGACATCTGGAAGCTAGAACTAAGGCCCAGGATAGGTCAATTAACAGGCCTAAGTCCTATCCTGCTATTACTCGGAGAGAGAGGCATGAATGAGATTCTTAAAATCCTTTTCACTGAGATGGCTCTTCAGGGTAGGAGTCAGTTGCAAACGCTCCAGGATACGGTTTTTTAAATGCTTCGCAAAGGGAGACAGAGCAGAGTTTGCAGAATTATAAACACTTGGGTGGCAGGGCTTCACTTATGCTACCCAAACACACACTACTTAAGCTACAGCTGCAGCCCAAAGATGCATTCTTTTAAAAATTTTTTTTTATTAGTCTATGTTTGCAGACTACTTTCTTTGCGGGGAGTTGATATGTGTACATAACACTGCGTAATCTTTTTCACTACCTCTTTCCTTCTTCCTCTTCTTCCTATCTCTAAGGTCTCAATCCCATTTGCAAAAGAAATTTTTTATTTTATTCTTAAATTATTTAGACTTTGGGTTTCTCATATCAGAGAAACCTTGCCATATTTAAACGTGCGTCTGCTTTATTTCACTTAACATTATGGTCTCAAGGTGCACAAAGCTGCTTGGTCTTGATGCCTATTTCAGACTTAAGACAAATAGACTCCTTGAGGGCCTAAAGACTCAGTTTTAAGAAACAAACTCCCTGGGTAATTCTTTTGCATGTAATAGTTTTAGGACTGCTAGGAAAGTCTGGATAGAAAACCTTAGTTTTGGTGCAGGGTTAATATTTGCCTTTGGGACTGATTTCATCAGAATCCCGAAGGGCACGCCATATGTCCTTGAACAGATGGGAACGCAACGGTTTTCTGGACAGAACTGTCCCTTCGTGCACTTTTTTCTTGGAAATCGCCACTCACGCTGAGCAGGTGCTCGACTGCTGGTGGCTACTAGCAATTCAAAGATCTGCTGGCTTTCTTCCCAATACTATTTGTCACGACCGCTTTTCGCCATGGAGCCAGCGATTTTACCCCGCCGACCACGGCGAGGCGCACGCGGCACGAGTTGTAGCTTTACCTCCTTCTTCCCGGGTCGGGCCTTCGCGCCCTTAGAACAATTTCTGGGAGTTCCTGCCTCTGGGCTCCAGCTGTGGCTCTCTTCTCGCGAGAACTGCTCCTCCCGTCCTCTCCTCCCATTGGCAGATTCCATATTGGGTTAAAATCTCGGCCAGGGAGCTGTCCTCGCGAGAGTACGACGGGAGGCTCCCAGTCTGGCTGGCTCTGGAGCTGCGACCACTGGAGCCTGAGCTGGCGCTGCAGCTGGATAGAGTGTCCGGCGGCGTAGCCCGTAGGCAGCCTACAGGCGGAGCGGGTGCAGAGGGGAGCTCGTGGGCGCAGCCTCGAGCCCCGGAGCGTCCTCCTTCTCTTGGCTGGGCTTGCTTCCGACGAAGTTGCAGTGCGTCTCGCCGCCGCGGCTGACAGGGGCCGCGCGAGGGAGTCTGCGGGGTCGCGCGCGGCAGCCACACTTGCGCGGGCGGCCAGCGCGGGGTCCCCGGCTCCCGGGCGTGCACCGAGGGCCGGCGAGCGGGTGCGGGTGCGGGTGCAGGCAGGGGCCCCCCGCAGGGCCACCGCCTAGTCCCGCGGCCGCCGCTGGAAAATGTCTCAGGAGAGGCCCAAGTTCTACAGGCAGGAGCTGAACAAGACGATCTGGGAGGTGCCCGAACGTTACCAGAACCTGTCCCCGGTGGGCTCTGGCGCCTATGGCTCCGTGTGGTGAGTGTCGCCGGACCTAGGGCTGCGGGGGCAGGATGGCCTCACATGCCCGAGGGCCAGGCCTGTCTGTCTCTGGAGCTCAGCTATGCGCCAGGCGGCAGGAATTTTTTCTTCGGGGTTGGGCATTGCTGTCTCTTTGAGCCCTGCCTGCCCAGCAGCCCTTGACCTGCACACCCAGGTAGGTGGTCAGCTGTGTGCAGGGCGCCGGGCCGCCGTGGGCGGTAGGCGGTGGCGCTGGGAGGACACACACCCTGCAGCTCCCGGGTCAGGTACGGGGCAGGGGCGCCCTCCGGGGAGGGGGGCTCTCCTTGCAGCAATCGAGCTGTAGGAACCACTCCTCCCGGGGTGCTCCCACCTGAGACTTTGGAGCCTGGTTTCTGAGCAGAGCCCCGGGAGCTGCCCAAAGAAGCAGAGGAGCAAAACCCACACCCGGAGGCTGCAGTCTACTGGACGAAACTGACGAGCAAAAGACCTTTTTTTTGCAAGCCTCTGTCGAAATCTCGTTTTGAGAAGCGTTCTTTTTGAATTCGCACTCGAATTAGCAGCCACCCATAGAGCTTAAAATACCGACTTTATCTCGGTGAGCACAGTGCCAGTTTGAGTGGTGTGTTTCCGATTCGGTTGAAAGCATATTTCCTTTGGGGGGGGGTGGAGTACAAGCTCGGGGTGAAGGGGGGCAGTGCCTGCCAGAAGACTAGAGCTTGAGAAACCGGCGGCCGCGCTGATTAGTCACATGCCGCTGCTCAGTTTTAGTATTGTTGGACAAAACAGTTTTCTCATGCGGAGCAAAAGACATTCAGAGCCTCCCGGCGTCTTCAGGATCAGAAAGTCATTAAGTGCTGGGAAGTATTGTAAATATTTTTTTTATTGAGACGGTTCCTGTGAATACTGTTTTAAAGGCCCCATACAGAGTTTGTACGAAATTTTATCGCCGTTTATTACCCGAGGTACACAATGGCTTTCCTGAGGATCTAGCACATAGAGCAGAGGAAAGAAAGAGATATTTTCCAGCTTTAATTTTGTCAGTGTGTTCTAAATTAAATCCATGCCACCCAGTTTCCGGGCCAGAAATATATTGTGTACTCACTTCTCTAACTTCCAAGTTTTAATACAGTGTCTTTTAGGTTTACTGCAACTTGAGCCCTCCCATCTGAAACTGAGTCAGGTTTAACTGTTGCAGTATGTCTGAGTTCTTAGGGTGCGTGCATTATTTGAAAAGGAACCTGTGAAATGAGTGTTACTGTTGGAAGAAATTCCAGGCTTTTGAATGCGTTAGTGTTTATGATTCTTGTGTTTCTTAAAATCATACTGTGAGTTTCCTGTTTGGTAGAATCTTCTGGGTACTTGAGATTGTGTAATTGTGTCCAGCAGCAAATCATACTGCGCATTCTGGTTCAGGTTGCTTAACTTAATGTTGCAGATGGCACCATGCTTGACGTTTTTCTCTCATTTTTTACAGTATGGCAGTTTACATTTAAAAGAATTCGCAGCATTTTATGTCCAACATTGTTGTTGACTTGCTAATTTCCTTTTTTTGGCTTTTTCCTCTTTATCAGTACCAGGGATCGAACTCAGGACTGCCTGCTTGCAAGGCAGGCGCTTATGCCGCTGAGCTAAACCTTCAGCCCCAACTTGCTAATTTTCAAAGATGTATTTAATAGCTTGTTAAAGTATCTCTCTCTCTCTTTTTTTTTTTTTCCCCTTTTTTGTGGCAGGCTCTTGCTATGCAATTCAGGCTGGCCTTGAGCTCACTTTGTAGCTCAAACTGGTCTTGAACTTGCAATGAATGATCCTCCTGCCTCAGTCTCCCAAGTGCTGGGATTATAAGCATGCACCACCACACCCAGTTTAGTATCTCCATTTTGTATTCTTCACTTGACACATTAATTATCACAGTATCAGGGTTTTGTTTGTTTCCTTGCATGGAATGATACAGTAAATGAAGTACAGGTCTTTAAGGTGAACTTTAATAGAACTCCTTGTGGGGCTTCTTATTGGTGTTCCACATTGGAACAGAAGATCCAGACCTTTATTTTTATTGTTTGGTACTGGGGATTGAACCCAAGGCCGTGGCCTTGAGCTGCACCCCCAGGCATTAGAATGAAATTCATATGTCTTTAGTGCACTGCTTTTATGTGACATGGAAGCTAGCAGTATCTGAAATCTTGAAAATACTTTTATTAAATTAAAAAAATAGGCAGTAACTTTGCTTTGCGCAGAGTTCATAAAGGTATTTAGTGAAAAATATCTTTCCCTTTCTGTTTTCCTGCCTTGCTACTCTTTCCCAAGACAACCACTAAGTTCCTTGTGTTTCTTTCACAGTAAGGCAGAGTTTGTTTTTAGGAGCATTTCTACTAAAGGGATTTAAGATGTAACCTACAACATATTGGTAGAAGAAAAGACAACTGAAATGATAGATGCCCATTGGCTGCACAGAAATGTAAACTAATTTTAGAATAAAAATACCAGAATTTAGGTTCATAAGTTCTGTAGTTGTTAAAGTTGTTCTTTCAGTTAGCATCTTGTTAGATGTGACAGAAAACATTTTTTGGGACTTTGAATCCAAATGATTAGGGAATTTGGAACCAAACCTGATGAAAAAGATTAGACAGGTTGGTGACACTGTTTTAGGTCAAATATCAGCAAGACGTATCATTGTGATGACATAGAAATTTTTTATGTCTCGGTAAATTGGACTGAGGTCTGTTCCAAAAAGAACCTCTGACTTTTATTTTAAGGAATGCAACATCACTGAAATATGTATTAGTTGGCTGATTTATGTTTTCATCTGAAGTTTGATTCACTTTAATGTGTAACTTAATTTTTTAAAGAAAAAAGTTAAAGCCTGTTATTATCTCAATTTGTACTGAGTGTGTTGTTTTAAAAAAGAAGTAAGTACCAGGCTATTTGACAACCAACTCTGAACCTGAAAAGATCAAGGAGTCAAGCTAGAAATTTGAGAAGTAATAGGGCTTTGCAAATATGTCTTTTCTTTTTTAAAGAGTAAAAGGAACTAAGTTTGAGTCTTGCAGTTTTAAGGAACTCTGCATTGTCTGCCAGGGGAAATGAAGCAAGTGGTTTAAGGATACATTCTTGCAAAGCATTGATTTTGTGGTTTCGGGACCCAGGGGGAGAATGTCTGTGGTAAGTTTAAGGAAATATAAACAGGAACTTAAGTGCCTTTCCTTTGAGGTACAGTCCTTCCCAGTCCTTGCTGTTGATTAGGGGAGATAGCGCTGGCCATAAAATAGGTGAGAGCTGAGAATCACTCTCAGAGCATGCTCAGCCATTTGCTCAACGGTATTTTTTGAATACCAGCCTGCCAAGTAGTGGATGGGGTTCTTGAGACAGAGTGCTGGACTCTCTCCCTGGAGGGAAGAAGGCTTACTGACTACATTTTATGAGTCACTTACTATGTTCTAGGCCTTATGCTGTGTGCTTTCTGTGTATCAGTAACATGTAGAGTGTGTAACCAAACTTCTAGTGAGAGGACAGAAAAATGGACTAAGAAACAAAATTGAACTCCCTAAGTACCTGGTGGAAATAGATGGTCCTCATAAATATAACTTCAAAAATGAAGCTAAATGGGGGCTGGGGATTTAGCTCAGCGGCATGAGCACCTGCCTTGCAAGCAGGCAGTCGTGAGTTCCATCCCGGTACTGATAAAAAGGAAAAAGACAAAAAAAAAAAAAAAAAAAAAAGAAGCTAAATTATAAAAATATGGCTATTCACCATTTTAAATCTTTTTCTTTTTAAATGACCTAGGGTACAAATAAATAAAACTGCATCATTATTAGGTATGCAGACATGATCTCTTGACTGTTACTTTCTTTGCGTTGATAACAGTTCCTTGCTGATCGTCATTTCTTTTTCTTTTTTATGGTCCACAGTTGAATTTACGACCTAGCACTTGCTCGGCATTGCTTATGCCCCTGAGCTAAATTCCCAGCTACTTTCTTTTGTAACCAAAAGCAAAGTGATTAAATGTTACTTGTGCCTTTCAATAAGAAACATTTGCACAGAATTAATAGAAAATGTTTGTATTAGCGATGCAGTAAGACTTATAAGAACGAACTCTGTCAGGGTGGTTATGTAGTCCTATCTTATTTATCGAATCCCATTTTCCACTAATCGTTTTCCACCAGCTCCCATTTAAAATAATCTAGGTTTCTGGCCTCATTCTGCCAATTTAGTTTCTTGATGTCAAGCACAATATTCTGCTTTGGATTTCCCCCTAGCTCAGCCTCGAGGATCATCTGTGTTGGCTTTGCCTTGCTTGGGCAAATATGTAAATGTGCTGAGCTCCTGGGTCTTGGAACTCTATGGTAGAAGAATTTACCCGGCTAGATCTCACGTTGGTATTGACTGACCTTCGTGTGGGGTCTTGCCTTCATTTTATAAAGTGTTTTCATCCCAAGCATTACCCATCATCAGTGGTCTGTAGTTCCATGAAGGCTGATTGATTTCAATTTATTATTACGACTGCTGTTACTGTCTTTGGTGCTGAGAATTGAACCCTGGGCCTTGCATGTACTAAGTCCCCACTCTGCCACTGAGCTCCCCAGAGGAGGGTTACTGACTCAGTTTCCCAGATGACGCGTCGGATTTGACCTTTAAAGTGAGCTCGTACTATATTCTCAGCGTTCCTTTGGTTTGGGTCTGGGCTTTGACGCTGTCCCAGTGTCCTGTCCCATCAAGGTGGACTGCCGGGCAGTGTGCTGTCGCCTCCTCATGTGCAGTTTGCCTTTGTGAGGAAAAGAGGTGCTGAGCCACTTGAGACAGAGCTGTGGCCAGAGGAAAGCGTGCCACCGATGCTAGTGTCCGGCTACCTTGAGGAGCAGTGCCTTTGCCCAGACAGAACTGTCTCCGCCTCAGAGCAGATAGATAAAAGATGAACTCACAGCTCAGATTATATTTCCCTAAAAAAAAATTATATTTTCTTGAAAGAACAGGCAATGCTAGTGGTTAATCCCTGAGTTAGGAATCCTACTGGTTTGAAA